TTGCGTTTTTGAATCGCAGTCGGGACTCCAGTGGTGCCTCCAACATCTGCTCCGAGAAGGCAACCTGCAAATTTGTTTTATAATTATTATAATAGTTTTTTTGATTGACCGAGAAAAAATGATCGAACTTAAAACTACTGAGTCAACGAAGAATTTTACGGCTGAGTCTGGAGTTAATACAGTGTACTTCATACAAATTTGCTTTTCGAACCATCAACAGGTACCGTAATGATTCGATATAGCGCCCTCCTTCCAATAAGCGCACCCTTTCGAATGTGTTTTTGTTAATATGCGCCCCCGTTCTGATAAGCGCCATACTTAAAATTTATTGGAACAAGTAGCATTTTGCCACGATATTTAAGTCCGCGTGTGTTGCCTAACGCCCCCCTATCTACACCATCAACGAATTGTAATGTAAGTGACATTGTCAACACTGTTACAGTTTATTTAATAAATAATAACTCCCCAGGTTGAGTTATTTTTCATAGAAAAAAGGAAACCTAAACTTTTCGGATTCAAAAATGTGATGGAAAGAGGAATCAGAAAATTATAACTTGCGTAAGAAGTTAAATTGCATCTAAAATTTTCGGGAAAACAATATTGAATTCCTTGTAAGCTCGAAAAGACTCAAGTTCCCCTAGGATGACCCAACAGATACAAATTTTATAGCGTCACTTAGAATGCATTTCTAGAGATATAAAAGTACTCAGGATAGCCTAAAACCTGTTTTCAATGAACTTAGGTAAGAAAATCAGCGATTTTTGTCTTAAACAGGGTCAGGGTATGAGGGGCCGAGCCGCACCTCCCCACCCAAGGATATACCGAGTACCCCCCCCCCGGATATAATCGTTTAAATGATCGAGCAAAAAGCATTGAGTGTTGCTGCCGCCCGTGCACAGAATAACTGAGACCTTTACCGATAATAGACCAGGAGAAGCATAAACGCGAACAAATTCGCGTGTTAGGGTCAACTCAATTTCATATTCTTGTGTTAAAAAAAAAAAACATGAGCTTTTTCAGTTGTCTGTTGGTAAAAAAAAAACCATGCCAGAGCCTAAAAAAAAGGTGAGAAGAAAAAAGAAAGAATGGAGTTTTTAAAATTGCAAAAAAACGTTGATTCCTAAGATAATATAACAACTAACACATTTTATAGCGGCTTTCTGACACGAGCAATTCGACCTCTAGTTGCGCCAAAATCAACCTATGGCTTGAAATCCCAAGAATAATAAAAAGCCGTGAAAAGAAAATTTATTAATGGTATTAAAATATTCACTTTTCAATCGTTATCCGTCAATAAACGAAAAAATTTGAGTCAAAATTTGGTGGCTTAAAGTCCACCTGGTTTATAAGATAACATCTATTCTGGAGAGTCAGTTTTAAAGTTTTCTAGAGTGTCGTCTAGAAATTAAAACAGGTCACTTGAGGGAGCACTTAAACCACGGTGCTACAAAACGATACTTTTACAACAGTTGTCCACAAAATGCTAGTTTATGAGCAATACCATTTCTTACATTTTCTTTTTAAGCCAGAGCGCAATTTTCTACAAGCGTTTTATCAGAGGCTTATGTTTCTGCGGGGGTGTAGCGAATATTAGTCCCGCTCGTTCGAAAAAAATCAAGTTTTTTGGGGACAAAAGAAATCGTTCAGTCCATTATTCCCCCAATAAAGGGCATTATTGTAAAGACAATTCATCTCATTGTATGATTATTACATTATTCCACATCATGCAGTCCCGAAATCAGTGGTGTATAAGCTTGTATATACAGGAATAATAAATGTTTACATGTGACAGCTTACAGCTGTGGTTGACTCGCATGTAAGCCACCCAAAAACTAGTAGTCAAGAGTAGATAGTTAATTTGAGTTTTAAAAGTATTTCGTACCTTTATCAGAGGAAAGAACATCACTGTTGTAGGTTATTTTTTCGGTGCGCGATCGACATAACCTCCGTTAAGTTACCACCATGCCAGGGGCCAATTTAGATCCGGATTTTTTATGGAGTTCATGCAATCGTGAGAGGGGGATCTTTAAAGGCACCATCTATACTTTACTATACTATTACCAAGACTACGATACTATTACCGATACTACCAAGACTACTCAGAATAATGTAATCACCATTTCCAACATCTGGATAAAGCTTGATTGGCATAATGACGTAATGTGACGTCATTAGAACGTCATATTGTTGAATTTATTGGCAGAACCAAGTTTCATCAATTTTCTCCTTAAAGGGGCTATGTCACCCAACACGCATGCGCAAGCCAATGAAAACAAACTTGAAAAAGACAGCCCAACTTTTTCAAGTTGTGTCGGAGATTTTGGAAGGCTGTTTTTATCTGTCTAAATCTCAGCCATCGTTCGATAGTTAGCGAAGTTTTGTATTAAGAATCATTCTATGGTGATTACAGAACAATTTTTTGGCGTTATTTTAAAATTGTTTGCCTGTGGAATGTTTTTACGTGGATTTACTGTGTCCTCTTATCAGCGGCCGTTGTAATGGCAGAGTTAATGACGGCTACTCCACAATGAGTGATGGAATCTTTGATGGCATCTTCCCTATAGTTCACAGGACCTTTCTATTGAGTTATTTTAGAGGCTGCTGGCTCTTGGATTTTTCTTGTGCTCAAAGTATGTGGACATATAATGAAGCGGCTATCGAGTTGGCGGCGGCCGTTTTTTGTAAACGATTACAAGAGCATCAGGCCATGAGTTTCGTGACGAAACTAGACTCCTGGCGAAGGAAACATTCTAAAATTCGGCTAGATTCCTTCTTGTATTTATCTCGATTCACGGCAAAGATAAACACGACCGTTTGCTCGTCCAGATTGTTCTCAACGGACTTAGAGAGGCACCTTAGTACGAGTTAGATCCTGTAAATGCCATGTTTTTGAACTGTTTGTGTTGGAGCATAATTTTGGAAAATAGCAGAGTTTGCGTTCCCTTTTTATCAACGGACTGCTTATAGTGGAGTAGTATACCAATGATGCTGGGTTCTGTTTTTCTCGACGTCGCAGTGATTCGGCACGATCGAACAATTTTGCGCGATAATGTATGTTTCCCTAAGGTCAAAACAAAGACTTGGTCTCTTGTTCTATCAGCATCTAAATTATAAAATCAATAGCGACAGACAAGTCGAATTGTTAATGATTTGAAACAGTCTTGGTCTTTATCTTCGGTCTAGCGTCTTTTGTAGCTCGTTTGTAAAATACAACTTCCATTTATTTTGTTGAATAAGACAATATGTTGTTGTTGAATTTTTGTTTGCGCTCTATTTTATGAATGGCATGCGTTTTTACTTCAAAACTACAAGTAAAATTGTCGTCGCAATTTTATTCTTGATCTAGCATAACCAGAGAAGAAACGTTCCATAAATTCTATCGAAATATCCCTGATCTAAACCCATTTCGCTAAACCTCTCTAAATTCGGAACCTTGGACGTGACAGAGAACATGAAGAAAGTCACGCGTTAAAAACAATAGAATTTTGACAGTTGAAAGTAATTTGCATAACCTCACAGCGCACATGGAGAAAGTCACGCGTTAAAAACAATAGAATTTTGACAGTTGAAAGTAATTTGCATAACCTCAGAGCGCATGCTCTCCAGCTGACATAGCCCCTTTAAAGTAGCCATAAAGCGAAAAATACGTAAATTGTACGGCTTCTGATAAAATTAGCTATCACATTGATAATGTTTAAAAATAACAGTGACGTCATGATGACGGAATTGATGAAGGAATTGGAACAATCTGCCATCTTGGATCTGCCATTTTGAATAAATGAACTACATTCCATTTTGCTTAAAACCGGTGTATAAATCGAGGTAATCGTGATATGAAATTTGATCCGTGTATTAAGGGATGCTTAGGAGGGAAAAAACTGCAAGCTATGAAATTCCAAGAGAAATGAACACTGTTGAAAAGTGAACCAGCATCTGCCATTTGGTCACTTCATATTTCATGTTTTGTAAAGCTTGAACGGTTTTGAAGTTATTCAATTTTAAAGTCTGGACTGTCTGAATAGGTTTAACACTAACCGAACACTACAGTTAACTCTGATTTAAAGCTGTCGGCACGCTCCGGGTACATTATTAAATATCAATGCCCCTATCTTGTAGTAGTGGAAAAAGTGCTTGGAGAAACTAATTCTTTCCTTTTTTACTTATTTATTTATTTCTTCCTCTTGTTTTCCTCGAAACTCCAAACTCACCTCACTGCGCGGCGAACTCAAAGAAAGCTCGGCGAGCAGAGACTAATCCCAGCTATTTCGATACTGATCATGCATTAGCATTTGATTTCCCAGCCAGGCTAGAAAGGCTAGAAAGGCCCGCAAGGCGGCTTTTTCGCCGCAAGAGAATTTATTTTGAACCTTCTATTTTACAGTTGTGATCGCTCACTCATTTTTTCGGGAGCCGAACCCCAAAGTGTGACCGACCTCTCGTCAGCAAAAAATTAAACAGAATTAAAAAAATCAGCTTTCCTAGTCAAAGCAAAATAGCTGGGACTTGAACGGGTGACATTTCTACGATATGATCAGTTATAAATAAGTATTCACTAATCGCATTACATTCATTTAAAAAAAGTACATTTACCCCCTTCACTCCTATACTTTTCAGTAAATTTAGTTTCGTACCTTAATCTTATAACAATATACATAACTGCTTTTCAAGATAATATGTAACACTGAGTCCCTTCTGGGTCATCTTCTCAGAGAAAAATTTAGTTGCTTCTTCTAATTTAGAACGTTCATGGTGTATGAAATTAATTAACTGCCCAAACATTTCCCTAGTCTACAACCTTGCGTTCAAGCATTAGTTTTGGGTGTTACAATTTAACATTTGTCACGATAGTTTTTAAAACTTTCTTCTTCTTTCAACGCAACAAAATCAACAAAAACAATCACAAGAAATCACATAACTGAGCATTTGTTTTTTTTAGAAGAACCCTTGTGCTTTTTGGGCTTGTGGGCTGGACTGGATGACCGAGATAAAGAAGGTAAAACCGAAGGATTGCTTGACCCGCCAGAGTACGCGTATGAAGTAGAAGCTGAAGCCGTGGGAGGAGACTGATTTTGGATTGATGCGCTCACTCCTGGTATGGGTGAATGATAATCATTTGCAGACGTTGTATTGGAGGTGGAAGTGTGACCGCCTGTACCAGATACACCTGAATGAGGTGCTTGAACACGCGAACGCACACTCGAGGTTGTGGTCGTCTGATAACTGGTGAATGGGCTGCTAACGTTGTAATGCACTTTAGTTGCCACTCCCTTTGCTGCTGGTGAGTGTCTAGGCGTTGGAGCTGGTGCTCTTGCCACCGGTCTCGCGGGTCCCGCAGGCTGCTGATGACCGCCTCGGGCTGTGGTGTACTCGATTATGTACTCCGGGTAGAACTGATCAGTATCAAAAACGACGAAAATGGTTGGAGATGACCTGTCATCAACACAGGAATCGTACAGATCACTTGCGGGATTCGAAGGCTCCTTTGACGGTGGCCTTCGATAACTGGACTTGCCTTTAGTATAAGACCCAACGAGGACCTTCGCCACGAACATGAACTTAGACCCTTTGTTATCTTCCTTAGCGTAACTATCGCTGTACGAGGAGTTTAATGCAAAATAGCTTCCTTCACCGTAAACAGTTGCGTTCTTCCCATGAAGACGCCAGTCAAAGTTCTGTTTACAGATAGCTTCTACGATTTCAGGGTTAGTTCCATGAAACAATTGCCTCTCGTTAACAAACCGTCCCTTCGTAGAGCCAATCCTCGCTGCTGCCATGTTTTCCTTTTTCCTGAATAATATACAGTAATCAAAGTCAACTTTTGTTTTTGGCCTTGAAATTCTATCATTCGCTTTAATATTGACATTTTATCATTCGCTTTAATATTGAGTCATGATAATAAATAATAAAGAACTGTAAAAGAGGATTAACAACTGAAGTTCGCTTTTTGAATGTTTTTCAATAACAAAAATACGCGCACTGATGTCATAAAATTCAACCAAATTTGTGGGCTATCGATCTCTTTCTCAAACAATTCCTCTGCCTCTGAAGTGTTCTTGAGAAGGGGAAGAGAGGGCTTGAAAGGAGCTTACTGTAAGAAACGAGTGAAAGTGAGAAAGACCCTCGAGCAACCCGCGTAAATAAGACTAAGATGGGTACAGTTACAGTATATCAGGGTAGAATAGAATAGAATAATTTATTTCATGTCGAAGACGTGAGAAGTGTTTGCATAATCTTCCGAACCAGAGGCTCATGTTAAAAGCGTTCGACAAACTAAAAATACAAAACAAGATAAAATGTGAATTATGCATATACAAATATAAAAAAAAACCTAACTATTAAGTACATCGTAATTTTGGGAAAATTTTTTAAGAAGTTGTTTAAAAAAATAAAGAGGGTAGTTAAATACCATTAATAATCTATTAAGCCCACGCCTTTTAAATAAGCCCCCACTACCCCATCTCCCTTCAAATAAAGATGTATTGATTGAAAAACACTATTTATCACTAAGAACTAGCCCATACTAGAAAAACGTGCCTCACACACCCTCGCGAAATTTGGTGCGGCACTCAATTAAAGCCCTCGTGATCCTTATGTATTGATATTGTCTTTGGCTATGTTTTAGGGACAATTAGAGTTTCTTCACACCTCTAGGGTTGTAATAAGCGACGGAAACGTTTATTGGTGACGTAGCATTTAATGCCTTACGTTTAATGCATTTGTTCAGTAGTACCTTTGGTACTTTTCCCACATGAAAGGGTTTTGCACTCGTTCAATTCCAACAATTACCACACTCCGTTTGATGGACTTTTTGAAGAGTTTCTCCACTTCTTTAAATTCTTCAGAAAGTCTTAATAACGACACACGTTGATATTGCCTCTTGGATAGCATGGAAGACCAATGATTTGGCGTATTAGTGACTCTTGTATTTCTCCTTTGCTCGACACTCACTGCGTTCTGAGACCTAATGAAAAAGATGGTAATACAGTGCGGTCAGTGTAAAACGCAGACTGCGGACTATTTTTTTCACAATGCAAATGTGAGTATGAAAACAATATTCCCATTGTTTTCTATCCCTAAAAACAATAGTCCGCAGTCAGTCCGCAGTCTGCACTTTTACAGTGCTCCAATGTGGTGGCACATTCAGTTTATTCTCCTAAGAATGTTTCAACGCATAATTCCGTGAATTTATAGTAAGTAAATGAGCAACTGATTGTTCTCTGTGAAAGAATTATTACCCGATGTTTCACTTAAATGCTTACATCATAAGTTTTCCTCTGTAGATCCATCAGATTAGCCCACGGGGGCTGTCTGTGGGCTACAAACAAGTATCCACCATTTACCTTAACAGTAAAAGCACATTGAGGTGATTTTCACGAAACAAGCTTTAGGTATCAATGACCAGCTTCGAACAGATTACACATCACATCATGAACCATCATGTGACATGTTTTTGTGACTGATTATAATGCAAATGAACGACCACACCTGCGGTCAAATTTTACATAAATCATTGTCTTGCTGGGTACCTAGTTTTTATCTTAAAACAGAGCTTTACCAAAACATTTCTTTTGGTTACCTTAATTTTACAGTGAAAAGAAGATGTGAGATTTTATGGTAATTATTTTGAACTAAACAAACTGGCCCATCATATCGGTGGCAAGGGATAAAGTTCTTGTCATTAATTAATTCTACAACACAAATACCTTTTAAGCTGAGAAATGTCTTCCTTAGACACAAATTTTCCAGGCCTTCTTCTCACTTTTTTCGTCGTGCCATACTTGACGTTTGTCTGGCACATGTCACTTGATGGGATAAACCTTAAAATGTAATCCTGGTCTGCAATCCGAAACTTGAAATCGTTTTTCTTGGTCAAGAAGGCTTTTTCTAGGGATTCTTGAAGATCTTTTCCCTATGAATAACAAGGTTGCTCGTCGAGACAAGATACCATACACTTCTCTATACAGAATTTTACTGATGTACCAAATTAAAAAGCGCTCTCCATATATTACTTGGAATGTTTGTTGTGTTGGCCTAATACCAGTCACATATCCAGCAAGTCCAACTCTTAATCGGGGGTTCTGCCCGATTACTCTGAAACTAACAACAACAACAACAACAAAGAATGTATGTATTTAAAGAAAGATAAAGTTACAATACTTTATGTCCTGAAAATAGCTATAATGCTCATCTAGGCAGGACAAGACTTGAAATAAAGACTAAAGCCATATACGATGTTAAAGTAAAGATTTCACCCCCATGGAAAACTCTGGCGACATACTTTTTATCCTGTCGGGCATGGGACCATGTAAATGAAACCTCTCCACGGTGTTCCATAGGCTGTTCACAGTCCTCTATTTTTCCGGTAGATGGTCCAGATCGAGGGCTTTGCGTTATGGGATGCATCTTGCATGAGTGTCAAAACTACTTAGGGGGCTATAATCCCCGAGGCCCGCTCCCTCCATACATTTGAAAATCAAGATGGTCGCCATTAACGGTAAGACGCGCTATATCTCGACGATCTCACGAAAAAATAGGGGACTGTGAACAGTCTAGTGTTTCCATTTGCTTTTCAATACTTTTAAACTAAATCAATCATGTTTCACATTCCGATTTGACTGAAAGAGTTGACAAGCTTACCTCAAGCTTTTCAGCGACAAAACTCTTTGAAATCTCTCTGACTGGTTTCGAGAAATCGTTTGTCTCCCAGCACAGTCAGTATGTAACAACTTCATCCGTAGAAGTACAAAAGGTTTCTCCCTTTTTTGTCTATCGTGGGACAAGAGATTTCCTTTCTTCATTTCCCCGAACGAATTGAATGACACTACAGATAACAGCATTTCTAAAGGCCACCGAGGCCATATAGTCTAGTAAACACGAGGACTACTTATCTCACTGCTACACTTCAAAACACAACTTCGTCAAGTCACATGACCCCAGAGTTCCCGCGCTAGGCTCGTCCCGGATGTATACTACACAGATCCCCTAGAGAAGCTTTCCATATCCCATAATATTGCCTCCATATCGTGGAGGAAGCGTGGCCGAGCAGTGAGAGCGCTGGACTTGTAATCCGGAAGCCCCGAGTTGAAGTCCCGCCCTAACCGCTAGCTGAATTTGTTCTTGGAATCGATTGGTAGTCCCGAGTTCAAATCCTCGACCACGCTTGTAAATAGCCAACTGGTTTGCCTCCTATCAGTTGGGATTCTTAAACATATTATGTTCTATTTGAATTATTTTTTTATCCCTGAAAAGCCCCATAAGGGGGTGGATAAATAATTATTTAGCGTTGTTATTATTAATCACTTTGCGGAGCCCACCACAAGCCATCCATTAAACCTTCAATTCTCGCAGAACCTTTACACAGAAACAACCCAAGGTGGGCCCTAACCGCCCCTCACCCGTCGCACCACTTACCTTGAGGGACTGTAAGGCTACTCACAGATGATTTACCGTAAATCCTCTATTAAGCTACCCGGGGGCTTATTTATTTCAAGCCCATTTGAGGGGGGGGGGGGCTTTATAGAGACGGGAGCTTATTTGAGAGGGGAGGATTATTTAATTTAGAACAGACGATGGTATCAGTACTGCATAAAGAACTAGAATACTCAAGCACAAGAAGGTTAGAGGTCATGCAGCCGAGGATCACAAACAAATCCGAACTTCCAGGAGTTGATGAATATACCATCTCGGATCAGTCCACATGAAGTTTTATAGCCGTGATTGATTAATACAGTCTATCATTTATTGGTGAAGAATAATTAAAGGAGGGAAGGGGGGCTTATTAATTTTCTTCTCCTAAAAGGGGATGGGCTTATTAGAGGGAGGGGGTTTATTTGAGAGGGGGGGCTTAATAGAGGATTTAAGGTATCAGGATTTCTCCCACTATTTACTCACAGTGTAGTCTTGATCATACATCCTCCAGAGTCCATTTTCGTCCTGCCAGTACCATATCCACTCCGTAGCTAGAGGGTTGCTTGAGTTGACATAAGACTCCGTAGATAGGCGTCGTAGACTTTGCGTGGCTTTAAAATCTTTCCCTGTAATCAGCAGCTTATTATTGAGCAAATCGACATCACACATCTCGTCAAGGAATAAAAATCCATAGCTAAAATATGAATATTAAAATGATAATAATGTCAACCTATAATTCATGTTTAAAAAAATGCACCATTAGCATACCATAAAATGCCAATGTTCTGGTTCTACAAAATCAAAGCGAATTATAGCTTCCCTGCTTACCTAGATCTAACAAGGAAGAACCCTTCTAGGAAAACATGATTTCGTAAAACTGAGAATAAGCAGTCACAAACTTAGGACTGAGACAGGTAAATACGACAATATACCACGTGATGAAAGGCTGTGCAGTCTCTGCAATTGTAACACAATTGAAGATGAATCTCACTTAGATTGTTCAAGTTTATCTTCGAGAAGAGAGACGTTCTTCTCTGAACTAGAACCTAAAATACCGTTTCTACGACTACAATCACATGAGAACTATCACATCTAATGAATTCTACTGACTATTTTATTAACATCCAATTAATCTCATTTATTTCATCTTGCTATATTTTTCTTTCTCGGGCTCCACGCTCGCTCTCGCTCGCTCGTTCGCTTCGCCCGCGTGCTCGCCTCGCTCGCGCGCTCGCCAATATTTTCCAAAAGAGCGAACAGAAAAATAAAACAACGTCTGTGTAAAGGCTATGAATTGAGAGACAAACTTGTCTCTGGAATAATTAATCCTACTGATGGTTGAAAATAAGCAATGATTATTATATTTAAAGTTATTTGAAATAATTAATTTAAAAAGGAATCAATAATTAAATTCAAGTAGCTTTTGCAATACTGTAATACTTTGTTATAGTCATGCAAATAAAGCTTATTGTTGTTGTTGTTGTTGGTTCATTCGTCTTAAGCCCTTTCATTTGAACATACTCCTTTTTCTTTTCTCGTACATTAGTTTTGGGCTGAAGTATGTCTACTAACTTCGCATAATTATTATAACTATAAATGAGTGAAAATCCGTTAATTTGACAACATTCTCAATGTATACTATAATTCCTATAACATACCTTTCATGTGATATTTGCATGCCTGTAGCAGAACATTCCTCAAGCGTCACGTCGCAATACAGTTTTTCCAGCTTCTGGTTGTCTTTCTCATTAAAACTCTTCCATTCACCTGCATCGGTATATTGCCAATGGTAAGGCAAAAAGCAGTGATGGCCTGTACACTTAGAACCATTCTTACATTTGCCAAGAATATACTCTGCGCAAATGGGTGCCTCTGGCTTGTTGAAGAGAATGTTTCCTGTCAGAATGCCTTGAGTAAAAAAGAGAGAGGAATGATGGCTCATTTAATCATTTTCATGATTAAAATTACTTCCACTGACTATTGAGGTACTGTATCAGTAGTTATATATATATATATATGATAACAACTTTTTTCAGATTTACATTCATTTATTTTTATCTTTATTTTGTTATTTTTTGTCAGACTGGTTTTCCGTCTTAAAGTTCACGATCAAAACGGTCACGGAAAATCGAACTTTTCCAAACCCTCGGCCAGGGTGGAAATTTTTTATACCCGTCTTAGCTCTCCGTCCTTCATTGGCAGCTTCCCTCTTTTAAACACTTTCATTGTGTTATATCTAAAGCTAAATTTTCCCTTTCCGCTTAAATCATGACGTTCAAACTTACTGTTTAACAATGTAGTTTAATAAGTAAGGCTTCTTGTACCCCGGGTTTCGAAAACCGCAGCATTAAAGTACCTAGCTGTGGACCTGGAAGACTAATACGTTTTTAGCGTCTTACGTTGGAAGCGACCTTTTTTCTCACGGAAAATGCGTGTTAAAACGAAAATTACCTAAATAGAGAGAGATGTCGTAGGGATAACAGAATTTTACATTACTTACCTGTAGTTTTTTCTTTTGAACATGCGGATTTCTCGCGCCGATCACAAACAAGAATAATTTTCTTTACCAGGTCTGATTTATGGTGTCCTAGCTGAAAACGTTCAAGGATCGCCTGGGTGTGTTCAGTAATCATGGCTTCTTCATGAAGTAAGTCACAGCCATATCCCCTTCTAAAACACTTTTTCAAATGTTCTCTACACATGTGTATTTTCGAACACGACTCAGCAAGATCACATAAACCATTGTTGTACAGATTTGGGGAGTAGATGAAAGAACGAGCTTCCTAAGTTGCTCATCTGTTAACTTGTCAAGCTTAATCTTCGACAATAGAGCTCTTTCTCTTTCATCTTGGAAGTGATGATTCCGCGGGCACGTTGCTCCGTTGCTACAGGAATCGGTTATGTACTCTCTACAGACGTGCAAGTAGGAACAGTTCCCTCTATTGCACTCCCCATAATAAGAGTTATTGTAACTAAGACATAAACGTGCTTTTGTACAGAAAGCGTCCACTTGGGTTATCTTTCCGTGATCGCCTTCTGTAATGAGGAAACTTCTTTTCTTGCTACGAAACCACGATTCTATATCCTTTAATTCAGGAGGGAACAAATCTGTTCGTTTGGAAATCACAGAAAAAGAAGCAGAGCAATCGTACTCTTTGCAAAGACGTTCGAAGACTTTAATTTCAGCCGGCTTAGCAGTGGCACTTGCAGCCACGGCTACTTTCGATGATATGTGCTGATCTTTCTTGCTCACTTTAGTGGCCACGCCCTTAGGAGGGATATTGCCCTTGGGGTCCTTCATACCCCTGGAAATTTTCTTCTCGCATACCAAAAGCGTGCGAAGCACTGAATTAAATTTGCCTCCTATGACTCTCATGCCATAGTTCTGAAGTACTGCAGTGGTGTGAGCTTCGGCAAACGCGCTTTCGTGTCGGAGACCACAGTCTTCCTCATCGTGGCACCTCTTCTTTATAAAATCCTTGCAAATGTGAACTTGGCCGCACGACAAACCGTTCGTGCAACGTCCATTGTTATAGTCCAGACATACTTGAGGCGATGAAAGCTGAAACAAATTGCGGAGTTGTTCCTCTGTCAAACCATCCAACTTGAGTTTGGAAATTAACTTTCGATTCCGATCGTACTGAAAGCAGTGATTTCTTTGGCACCCAGCACCACGCCTACAGAAGCCAGCGATGTACTCCCTACACACGTGAAAGAACTGACAATCCTTCTGAAAGCACTTCTCCTTGAAACAAATCCTTGCCTTTCGACATAAGGCACTGACCTCGGCAATAATTCCTTCCCTTTCTCTGATAAAAAAGCTTTCTTTTCTGGCTCCAAACCACTTAGCAACGTCCTCACAACCGCTAGGAAACAAATCTTTTCGTTTTGAAATGACATCAAAGGACACCGTGCCACTGTATTCTTTCACAATGCAATCGAAAACAGCCTTGTTGGAAGGCAAAAGTTTACGCGAGTCTTGAACAGAGCTGCAAGAACTGGAAACACACAGTTTTCGTTCACGCTCAAATCCATGACTTATGAGGTTGGTAACCTGTGCGAAACTTTACAACAACAACAATAATAATAATGAGAAGAAGGCTTTAAACATCGTTTGGTAGAGTGAGAAATGGATGAAGAGCGGACAATATTGAAGTGAAAATATCATTCACTCGAAAGGTGAAAATACCTGACTTCTTTTTCAAAAAAAGGTACCTGTTCTTAACTTTTAACCTAAACGACAAGCATAGACGAAAAAGGTAACAATATAATTTTGCATTTTATTCTACGGAAAATGAATGCAGAAACTTAGTTTTTCTGCTGTTTTTAACTAGCAGAGTTGACCTTTTTGTAAAAACATAGAATTGCCGGAATCTTTTACTGATTAAAATTAGCTCTTTAACTAGTGGTGGTTCATACTGGGACTCGACAACTGAAAAATTGTCTGGAATTTGATTCAAGAAATTCAGAAGACAACTACGAACTCAAGCGCTGAGAAGCCGCGGTGATACACACAGACATTAGACAGTATAGTTTTACGATGAGAATCTCTAAGCGTTTTCACTTCCTAACGGATTTAGAGTGACAGTGGAACTTCGTTTAATATACTACAATCCTCTAGCGGCATAGAATCGAACAACGAAGGCCGGAGTCAAAAATGTCGTTTGCCTGAACTTTTGACCCGCCGTGTTTACTGATGATTGAACGAGCACGTTTTTGAGATAAAGCAGTTTCATATAATAAGTGGAACAAAGATCTGAAACCAAACAGAGATACCAATTTCAACGATCCAAGTGCGAAGGGGGGCCGTTCAGATTGCAATCTTAGATTGGTTTAGTCCTTAATGGCACAAAAAATCAAATTTCGGATTTAGATTGGTCAAAACGAACGCATTAACCTTCTCGTTGTTTTCCGAGTCTAAAAATTGTGCAGGCGGTTGATACCATGACAGTTTTCTTCGATAAATCCTTTACAAATATGCCAGAAAGAACTTACACTTCCCCTGAGCACTTTGACAAGAACCTTTCTCGTGATATTGTCGACATATTTTTCTCCTTAAATCAATTCGCACACCAGCAGCTTATCTCACCATTGAAATCTTTCACGACGACTAATCGCGGACCAGCTTTACTCATCATCCAGTTTTTCGCTTGTGCCTTTGATGTTCTACTTCGTAAGGGCGAGGAATCCTTTAAAAGAACAGATAACTCCACAAAACCGCCACTAACGCAGATATAATTGAACCCTTCCTCCGCCAAATCCGCCATCTTGTCCGTCACGAAAATTTCCTAAGTTGTGAAATGTCTGAATATATTTCGAGAAAAATGGCAAAGTGTCTTACGTGGGATTACTTTTTGAACGCTTGTAAACGATTGTCACGAACAACAAAAACTTCAGCCTTTACCTTGAAAAATGGTGTTAAACGCGGTCGGCCTGTCTCCTTTCCTAACAATCGTAGCACAGAGTGGCGTGTCTTTGTGAATGCAAAATCTGTTTTGTCTGCACTGACTAATCACGTGGCTGCTCATGTCAACATCAGCTGGTATGGGGCTCGTTGACACATACTTAAGTTTCAAATATACGGGAACTGCAACAATAAAAACAAAAACTGAAAAAGAAGAACTTGCCTTTTAGCATAAATGTGCATTACATTCAGAGACGGAGGACAGACATGTGCGAGGAATGGTTTTATATTCATATTACTCTAAAGCGGGTGTTTATTTTACATTAGCCAAAATCCAAATGGGAGCGCTTATTTGAAGTGATCGCCATAAATTCGAGCATTTTACGCCCCATTAATGATACCGTTTTGGATAAGAATTTCCTTCAGGAGCCCTGTCACGTTTCTGCAAGGCAAATTTCAGTAAATTTCCGTTTGCGGAATTCTGAGAAATTTTTACCGTATGTTCATAAACGCGTCACGCAATCAAGCAAGCGGCCATCCAGCACGGAATTGAAGCAGAGAAAAGCAAAGCATTTGCCGAAGAAGTTCTGAACCTTCGCTCTGCCAAAGTCGACTTTAAGCGTTTGGAGGAAATCTGTCATGAGGATCCGGAGAGCACTAATCGCATTACCCCTGTGATTGACTGTTATTATGCAAAAATGTGTCATCACCCGGTAAATTTCAAAAGTCAACCGCAAGGAGTCAATTTTAGTTTTCCTTTTGTTGCAAATACCCCGATTCCAGAAAAAACCGGGAGTGGCATAGAAGTGAGGCTTAACAGCCCTCTCGGCAAATAAATTAAAAAGAACTAACATGGCGGACGATCAAGTCGATCTTACCCCCAAGAGGACATTCCTGGTGCTAGCTTTATTGAAGAAAGGATAGAACAATTGACCTTTGCTCAACTAAAGTTTTGGTTGAAATGTCTCTGTATAAATCAAAATGGTAATAAGAAGGAACTGTTGGAAAGGTAGGTGTACATCATCCGGCTTCGCGCAATCGATCAGCTGTTTACATAGCGGTTTAGACACATGTTTTCATACAAAATTTGTTTTCTCAGGGTCAAGAACCTGCAAGCAATGAAAATCTAAAAATATACGACCCTGACCCAGACAGGATTTTCACTTTACTAAGGACCGGTCATTATTTATCGCCTACGTGGGGAGGGGGGGGGAGGAATTTAGGGGAGGTATCGCTGAAAACTTTGGAAGAATCCAGAGGGAGGACCACTCAAATTTCCTTGGAAAATGAAGACATGTCAGACATGTGGGGTCAGACATGTGGGGGGGATCGCGAAAGTCATCAAAAGTTATTAGGAGGGATTACGTCAGTGAAGTAACACTCAAAGGGGGGTCGGCTAAATTTCACCTTGTTTAGGTCCAAATCCTTCCCCCCCACCCCGATAAATAATGACCGGTTCCTAAAGCAAAGTTAGCGAGATAGATTAAGAACTGAGGAAAAATGGGGAAACCGCGAGTGATGCAGCAAACCACTTTAAGAAGTTTCCCACCGTTGATTCAGCAGTTGGTGACGATTTTACCGTCTTTCCCACGTTCGTTCCGACTGATACATTAGAACACCTAAAGAACTTTGGAAAGAACACCAGGAAATCTACTGATGCCGTTGCCGAGTTTGCAAGTCCTAAAGGGCTCAGAATACTCTCATTTGTTCACGAACTCCCAAGTGTGTGCGAGTCCAAATTCCAAGGATAATGTTATTTACCTTAGAGTGCTTTGCTATGCTGGGCCTCCTATAGGAAATCTGTCTGAAACAAAGTCAACATGGTAGTCAGAGGAACAGCAAACCCAAAATTCTAGCTGCTGAGTGTGACAAAATATGCCCAGCCGGAAAAAGTGGTTGTTGCTGCCATGTGAAAGAAGAACTTTCAACGTACTGATAACCGTAGCTGTACCTCCAAACCTAGACAATTGGGAATACCAGGAAAGAGGACTGGAAAACATAAGCCAATCACGACAGAGAAACATTTTAAACCACGCCATTCCTCAGACATCCACCGAAGAAGGGTGCCTTTCCTAAGCTGTTCGATCCAAGACCATCAAAATCGCGTAAGTTAGACCTCAGTAGAATCAGTTGAAAGATTGAAACAAAATTTTCAAAAAGTAAATCCTGCTGTTAGATTTCCAAAAATGATCCCTGATGCGGATAGTATCAAGTCACTTGACACAATAGTTGGAGAAGTTGCGTATGGTTCTGATACAAATCTGATTGTGTGTGGTATGTTAAAACTATACCCAGTATACCTACACCTACATAGGCCATCTCTGAGCTACTGAGCCTGGGGTAAGCTAAGTTATATATGATATCTTTATTAGATTTCCCATAGGAGGCCCGGCAAGGCGCTCTAAGGTAAATAACATCATCCATAAAAATGGGAGCATTCTGAGCCCTTTACGACTTGCAAACTTTGCATCGGTACCAGCAGATTTCCTGGTGTTCTTTCCACAGTTCTTTAGATGTTCTAAATGTGAGAAGGACGGTAAAATCATCACCAAATGCTGAATCAATGGTGGGAAAGTTCTTGAAGTGGTTTGCTGCATCAGTTTCCCCATTTTCCCTCCGTTCTTCATTGTCTCGCTAACTTTGGTTTGGTGAAGCTCCTCTCTGGTTCAGGGTCATAATATTTTTAAATTTTTCATTGCTTGCAGGTTCTTGACGCTGAGAAAGCAAATTTTGTATGAAAACATGTGTCTAAACCGCTATGTAAACAGCTGATCGATAGGGCGACCTACCTTTGCAACAGTCCCATCTTAATTACTGCAATTTTGATTGATACTGAGGCATTTTAACCAAAACTTTAGTTGAGCAAGGGTTAATTTTTCTATCTCTTCTTTACTAAAGCTAACACCAGGAATGTAAGTAAGATCAACTTGATCGTCCGCCATGTTAGTTCTTTTAAATTTGCCGGGAGGGCTATGAAGCCTCACTTTCATATGCAACTTAGGGTTTTTTCTGGAATCGGAGTATTCCAGTGTAGCAATTCAACTCTTGTCTAGACATTCTCCACGTTGTTGACAGGCTTGCCTTTGTGACCTAGCGCGCTAATTTTATTACTTATTCGGCTCGAAGCGCGCGAGCGGGAAGACGATGAATGTTTTATTATCATGTATTATCGCGGCTTCAGAGCACCTGTTATTGCTATAGAGACTAGTAAGTGCCGGTATGTCGTTCATACTGGTCTTTTTATCCTTGCACCAAAAGGAGTAGGTAGTCTTGGAATATTTACCTGCTTTCTTGGTGAAATCTGTGGTACGGTAAGCCACTGTAAAGCTCGGAACGAAGATGATCTTGTGGTTGTTATCAGCAGGCTTGGGGTCGTTGCATCAATATTTAGACATCGATAACCAAATATTTTAAACGAATTAATTCCAGTTTAAGATGATTCTTGGAAACATAAATGGAGAAGACATTGCATCCGTGAATGTGTCTCCTGGAGAGTTGTTTAGTCACCCGCCGAACGCGATTTGAGCAGAAGGGAGTGAAGAAAGCAGCACAGAAGAAATTTTTTTCGCAGAAAGCCTGTAAAGCCTTTGTACAAAGCATGAGAGTACCTGATTGGGTTCTACTTACTTTAAATTGGCGGTACGGTCGGGTTTCTGATGAATCATGGCAAACCATAAAAACGTGGGATGAGACGACTTGGTGACACGGGATAAGTTTTATTTTACCATAAGATAATAAATTACTTTTATAAATGCCATTACAAACAATTTGTCATCATCATATGATAGGTAGATTTGATAGTCAATTTGCCTTAAAGGCTGATGAACTTAACAACCTACCGGTACAATGTTGAAACGACGATAAAACTATGTTAATCATGACCTCAAGACAAGAGGTCAAGAGGTACCTCAAGAGGTTGGCTGCATTTGGTCTAACAATCCCCCCTGGGGGTACTCCCATATACTTTCATGAACCTTATGGGTTTGTGCTACCTAACCAGTGGAGGATCCAGACCCTCAGATAGGGGGAAGGGGGGGGGGGGGGCGGTCACCCAGACCCTGAGATAACGGGGGGCTCCCGGTCTCCAAAAAAAATTTTTTCTACCCTCCGGGTCTCAGTTTGGGCTACAAATAAGGAAGGGGGCCTGGGTCCGCCACTGTTAACAGATATGCTTTTGCCCTGTCCGACTCTAGAACCGGGTATAAAGATCAAGGGGTATATTTTTTCTTCATTTAGTCTCTAGAACCTTATTTAGGTGCGAAACTATTCTACCCTTGTTATTTTATCACTGAGCAGGACGTAGGAACAGGAAAAGGTCCACACCCCCAAAATAAATTTAAGGGAGTACCCCTGAGCTAGCAATTAGCAAATTTAAAACAACCTCGTCCTCAGGGCCCTTTTCCATGGTTGTGTAAAGTAATTTACTTACCATAGGTGACGCGTGACCTTTCTGCTGGACACGTCGTCGGTGTCGCGTTACAGACGACCATTGAAAATAAGAGACTTTGTATAAGAAATAAGATACTGAGATCTGCGAACGCTAAATAACGTTAAATCTAATTTTTCCTTTAATGAAATAAATAAAAAAAGACTTACCTGCGATATATTCCACCGTGTTTCGGTGTCTGCTCGTCGTTTTACAGGTTTTTTTGGCTTTATTCCATAACCACTGTTACTCCCTTCGTCTTATGAAACAGAGGCCCGGGGGAACTCGGAAATGGCCTATTACTTTTCACTCTTTCCTCGTAACGTGAGTTTGGGCTACCTGTGCACATTCACGACGCCGAACTGTACGCTCCATAGCGTCTTGTTTAATTATGTTTTTTTTTCTTGTGTTGTTTCCCTTGAGTCTTACTGCCAACGCTTTACAGCTCACGAGGTTTTTGCGATAACGTATTTCTAGTTATATTTTTAAAGCAGAACATCGTTCTTTTGAGGAGACTCTTTCCTATTTACAAGGATTGCTTGAGGCATTTCACGTCCTCGCCCAACTCTCCTTCAGTAGAGAGCAACCTCGTTACGGATCCCTGTTCCTGTCCTTTCGGGCACGTGACAGGTAGATGGAAGTGAATTTGAGGGAGAGATAGCTCGCTAGTGAGGTTGGCATAAGCGATCGGCATGTTGCCTTCGCCCTCCTGGATTTAAAAGGTGTGGACATGAAATTAAGGTCTACTGTAATTTTTGTATTTTATTTAGAAAAAAGGAAAACATGGCAGCCGCGAAGACTGGTTCCCACCAGGGAAGATTCGTAAACGAGAGGCAATTGTTTCATGGAACCAGTCAACTGTACCAGCCCTGAAAATGTGGAAGCTATTTGTAAACAAAACTTTGACTGGCACCTTCATGGGAAGAACGCAACTGCTTACGGAAAGGGAAGCTATTCCGCATTAAACTCTTCTTACAGCGATAATTACGCTAAGGAAGATTCCAGAGGGTCTAAGTTTGTGTTCGTGGCCAAGGTCCTCGTTGGGTCTTACACTACTGGCCAGTCCAGTTATCGAAGGCCACCGTCAAAGGAGCCTTCGAACCCAGCAAGTGATCTGTACGATTCGTGTGTTAATGATATGTCATGTACTACCATTTTCGTCATTTTTGATACTGATCAGTTCTACCTGGAGTACATAATCAAATACTCCACATCTCAAGGCAGCTATTAGCAGCCTGCGTTAAGAGCACCTGTTCCAAAACCTTGACACTCACAGGCAACAGTTTGGGACCTTTATCAACCACAACGAAGACGCCGGCACTGAAAACGCCACAATGAACTTCCATGTTTATGTTTATTCAGCCTCAGTTTGTCTTGTAGGCAAATTTTTGAAGTTAAACTCTTTACCGCTGTATTGCACTTTAAAAAGAGAAGGAATAAAATTGTCGTTGTTGTGCACGTGTTTTAACGTCCCATCGCGCAGAATGCCTATTGTTCTCGGGACATTTACTTCCAGTTCGACAAAGTTTGTAGATCTGTAATATCACGCGTTATTTTGCGTGAACGCTATGAAAGCGCATCAAAAATTGGTTGCCTTGAACGGACTCGGATGCTCATTAATATGATGTAGGTGGCAAACTAAACAAAGAAGGCAGTTCTGTGTTGCTTCTCCTTCTATTCGTAAATCGCACATATAAGCATATTTCGCAACGAACATATTAAAAACTCACTATTGCATCGCATTAGTACGTTTCTCGTTGTAGCGAACGTCAAAGAAACATAACAAAACGTGTGCCAGGTTTTTGTGGACGTTCTCGCTGATGTTATCGTCGTGGTTGTTAATGCTCTCTATTTTAACGGTCAATTGCACCCGCTGCAGTCGTAACCAAGCCTTTAAGGGAATGTTACATGCAAGTGACCATAATCGACGACGATTTTGGGCAACAATTTTGGAACAATGTTATTACAATTAGAATAATATCGCAACAGTGTTGCAACGCTATGTTGCGCAGAAAATCGTCATTAGAAAACGTTAATTCTGCGTAACATCGCTTTTAGTCACGGTAGATTCAAGAAGTTATCTGGATTAAGTTACTATATATAGGGCATATTAAAATGCATTTGTAAACAGTTTTAGAATGGGCCAAGTTTAAGCCCGAGTTGAATTTACGTTAAAAGTTCGGAAAGGACCAGTTACAAGTAAGGACGATAATAGACCCTTTCATGTCCACGTTCTTGGTCAACTTTGTCCTTCAAGACCACTGGAAAGAACGCGTTAAATTCAGTAAAGTTATTAATTTGGAAAGTGATTTTGTTGGGAACTAGCTAACGACTGATAGCTTAGAAAAGTCGCGAAAATTTACAGATGTTTCTATTGTGAGGGGTACGTTTGCGCCTCCTCTTCGCTAGCTTGAGACGTATCACTTGAAAACTTGGGAATTTTACTCAGTAATTTTAAAAAGGTGCCCTTTACTGAAAGATCGATGGACATTCGCTTACTGGTCCCTATCAACTTGAAAGTTCAAACTCGTACTCCGGTGCGTCAAGCTGTGTTTCTGCATCACTTGCACTTCCCTCAACCCCGCCACCGACCTTCAAAACCCAAAACTTCTTTTGGAGACAGTTATTAAATATTAGTTAACAATTATGTGATTCCAATACTGGTGGTGGTGTTGTTTCTTTTTTTTTTGTTTTGTTTTGAGCGTAGAAGAAGGAACGTTGCAAAAAAGAATTGTATCTATGGTGAGTTAAGACATGAACGTGTTTTATTAGGAAGTTTGGACCTTGTTCACGATACCCTCCATCTTTGCACTCGCTTTGGGGATGGTGGGATAAAAGCAATGTCACGTGTTATTTCAGGGGACAAACAAGTGATAAAATTTATTTATTTTTTTATGTTTCACTAAATTTGGCAGCTGTTCCAAATGTTTAAATTTTGATAAATTTCACGACACAGCTCCTTTAAAAGAACTTGTTCATGTAACTAGTTACAGCAGTAAACTGGCTTTAGAGTGTTAACTTATGAGAAACTATTTTTGACATGCCCTGATTAACAATTATTAACCCTGAATTAGCTTGAATTTATCCAATGTCCTTTCTATAAAGGTATTCGGTTATATGTTTTAACAGAAAGTTTCGGACCCACTGCGCCGCGGCCGGGAATGATCTTTTTCAGCATTTTCGCGAGCAGGCCATGACGTGCGTAAATATGTTTTTTAAAGGCCTGTATGACAACGTTGATATTACGAGCAACTGGAACGGGGCATGTCTTCGTCTCCTTATCGTAGCAGTTGATATAGCTAAGGAATATTTGGAGGACATTTTTTCCCTTTTCCAAGTTTTTTACGGCCACCTTAACACAAGTGTTCTCCACCGTACCAGCGCAGTCCACGTAGGTATCGTTCTCTAAAAGTAGAAAAAAATGATCCCTGAGACATGAATATGGAAACGCTTAAACCTCGGGGCAAAACTGATACTTAATAAAGTTTGTTTGAGTCTAAATAATAAAAACGTCTAGCTGGGCCACAACTAGACCGTAAGCGGTCGTCCTTCTATCCTCAGACTCTTATGCACGTGAACGGTAAAAAGGAGGAGAAATTGGGTCAGAGAGACAAAAACTGGAATGGAAAATCTTCGCTCAGGCTACGCCATCGTTCCTCGCGCGTGCTCGCGATTTACCATGTTCGCCATCTATCGTGATTCAAAAGAAAGTAAGAGACTGCTCGCAGTCTTCCACAATCTTGGCTAAGAAATAGAAAACCATGTGCCCAAGCAAATGTCTTACAAGCCGCATTAGGAGTGTTATTCCAGCTGGGCTTATTTGGCTTTGCATGCATGCTTACCAATACTAGGGAGATGTTCTTTCTCCATGATACCTATTAAAAAAGAAGAAGGCCAATTTTCGTACAGAGATGAGTCAACCGGCCGGTCAGAGAGTACTTTAGAAGTATATATTCAGTTAAAGACGCGAAACTTGATAAATAAATAGCTTTAAGCTCAAGCTAAGAACCACTTGAATGTCAGCTTGATAAAGAGGACGATCTAAAAACCCTTTTCCCATTTCTTGCCCTCAAAACGTAAATAATATCAACACACTATTTTTGATTCAAAGGCTTAAAAACCATACCCTTAAGGTGCCGTGCATAATTGTATGACTTTCTAAAAGAAAAAAACATGGGATTGTGCCCTTCCCCACTTTCCGAAAACGTAACCCATCCAAATATTGGCCCAAAAGAAATCAGCCCTTTGCCGTTACGGTATTGCCAGCCTTGCATTCAGTTGGGTTTTTGAAAATACTTCAAGAGACATCTGGCTCTAGCATCTCTAGATTAGAGATCCAGCAAGAAGGAACCAGTCGGTTTTATTTACATGTTTAGCAGAATTCTGCATCCCGCAAAGGTTTCTACTGACTAAACCACGCTGTTATTTAAGATCATGACTTACCAGATTCACGGACAAGCTCCCTTAATTCCTCGTAAGGAAGTGGCTTCGGACAAAAGTCAGATTTTCGGGTAAGATAAATCCGTTCCAGGTTGTACGCACGATAAAAGTCAAAAACTTCGCGGTCACATGTGGCATTTAATGGCTTTAGTAGGCATTCGGAATCCATCTGGTTTAGATATGAAAATTAAAACGTTAATACTTTTGGTTACAAGCCTTATATAAAAGGGAAATTCATTTCTTTCGTTTGTTTTGTTTGTTTGTTTGTTGTCTCCCTTTCCTTTCTTTTTCCTATCCGTGGCGAAGTTATCTCCTGCAGTACCTGCCGAGGGCAGTCGGGTTCAGCCACGCGGGCATTTTTACCCGTGCAGAAGAGGAGGGGGGACGATTCCCTCAGGGAACAAATGGGAATAATCGTCGGAAATTTTTAATCAAACGCCAGAAAACTTTTCTGGGCGCGGCTCAAAATGTTTTTGACCACTGACAAATACCCAAAATAGTAAAAATAGACTTCATGTTTCGATAAATTTCGTTGCTTTCAACCCTAAACGAGATTTTAACGGCTAAAAATATTGACGTTTTTCCCCGAGCACGTAAAAAAGTGAGTTTAAAAATACGAAGCTTTAACCCCACTTATGCGAGACGACAAGCATCCTCGATTCTTTTTATATTGGGAACCGGATATTCCAAGGACATTTTCAGTATTGACCCCTTGTACCTCAACGTGCTGCTTTGTTGATTAAACACTTATAGAGTATGCAAAATATTCCGTAAAACCTTTAAAGCGAGACAAAATGCTACGTTGTACGGCACTGAGGGCGTTGGTGGTTTTCCCTTGGGAATACATTCGACGACTCTCTTATAGGCAGCAGGGGGCCATTCTGCATTTCCACTGGTACAAGAGCCAAATAGAGCTACTCCACAAACCATAAAGAAGACAAGTAGATCCATTCTGAAAAATGAAAACGGGCAAAAATATACAACATTCCGGCCAATTGTAAAGCGCGACAGTGCATTTCCTACAAATTCCGCTAGGATTACCCCGTACAAACACTGTAATTGAAGTAGCAACACTAAGCCCGGTTATACTTTGATTTAGGCCCGGGGGGGGTACTTCCATATATGGGCTATATAGGTATGTGCCGCTGTGAAGGGTATGGTTTTCAAGCGATTTACTCTGGGATAGGGTATACAAATCAGAGAGCTTGGGTCTAGAAGATGGTATCATTTTCCATTTAAACTGATCAATTGGCTGAAGATTTAAGTCTAGACGAGGGAAACCGGGAATTGCTACTCAAAAATATAAAAAAAATCCAATCTGTTTTGTTTTGGCTGGACTGTGCTAGTGACCTCATTAATTCCTTCTGGAAAACAGCTAATCTAGCATAGCAAAATTCACATGAACTAGCTCTGGTATAGGCTAAGGGTTTCAGGGTCTCAGCTGCACATGACCACCCAAAAAGTCCTAAAGTAACCCCCCCGGACTTAAGTTACGTTCACAAAGCACCAGAAGAATTTTTAACGGAAACACCTTTAGTTCATGTGTTTCGGTGTTAAGTTTTGTTATTCTGTTTTTAGTTTTTTTTGCTCTTTTTTTGAGTTTTTGTGATTCTGTTTTCTGTTTTCTCGTTTATGTCCACCGCATCCGAGGCATTTGCTATCTCAGTTATAATAAAACGGCCTGAACACTTTACTGATGCCTTTTTTTCAATCTTGGGCAGACAAATATAGTAATTATGAAGTGGTGGTTACTAGAACTCAAGATTGCAGTTTTATGACTCATAATCCAGATAAGCCAAGTCGCTTCTTGAAAGACCGGTATATGGCTTTCGGATTTTTAGGCATTAAATTCGTAAAAGCAGCTCCCTAAATTATCAGACTTATAACCAAATTCAACATTTTGAACGTGATAACTCGGCTATACAAATGAATTAGATCATTATACACTCCGCAAAACAAAGAAACAGAAATAGATAACAGCCGATATCATTTGAGATTTTTTTAACAATAAAGCAAAAGAAAATATATCACCATAGCAAAAGGTTATCGGCTAATATTTGCCTTGTCTTGTAATTCTAATTACATAAAAAATAGCTGTTAATTATATGCCACTCGTGATATGCACGAAAACATGAAAAACAAAATAACAAAAAAATTAAAGAAATCTTTTTCCGATACCGGTGATAACCGACGTACGAAGTCTAAAAAGCAATCTTGATACGGGACGAAGCAGAGGAACTGTGCTTTGAAGTATATATGCATGTAGGAATTTGAGTATTTTCCGGCTTTTTTAAGAGCGAATAAGTCTGTAAGATGATTAAGTGGAAAATGGTCTGCAAACTTGAACGAAAAAAAGAAAACTAAATTTCGCGCACAACAATTGGGAGTAAGCAGTTGTTAGTAGAGTATTTTTTCAAAAAGGTCTTCTTTCTAGTGACTTACGTATCACAGCTTCTAAGTCAGCTGATAAATGAGAATCTGACAAGCGTAGACTAGTTGCAGAGAGGACTGGCTTCGCTGACTACAATGAATGAGTAGGCGAGTATGTGGCTCATTTTATAGCATTATAAAAATACCATAATACTCTTTGTTGTCCCTCCTCATTTTCGCATAAGCATGTCTCTTAGCACGCTCAGGAAGTAAGAACTTAAGTTAAAATTAGTACACTTCACGTTCTTTGAACATTTTGAAGAGAGACGGAAACTGGGCGGGCTGCATTTTTGGCTTGAACAGGTCAAGATTATTCTGCATGGAAAGGGCATTAATGAACGCAAATCAGTCCACGTTATTAGTTTTTGCTAATTGACTTCAAGAATCAAGTTATTACTTTCTTGTCAGTAAGAGAACCTGACAAGTTATTAAAGGAAAAAATTGGTCAAATCGACTGCCGGAGAAGTGAAAGTCAGTCAAACAGGACTTAAAATAAAAGGTATTGGGCTGACTGCAAGTTACAACCGGAATAAGTTTTGGTGGCTTGAGCAAGGAGTGATAATTGGTCAATATTATGTGTATTGACTTCAAGGACCTAAAAGGTTAGCGGTTTAAGTGAGAATCACGTACTAATTTGTTAGTAAGAGAATCTGACAACTGTAGTCGCAAGTGTGTAGTTGCTAAGTCGGTTTTGTAGACTTCAATGAACGGACTGCGTGGCTCATTTTATAGAGCAGTTAAACAAAAATGATGCTGCGCACCGTGAAGTCATAATTTCGTCGGAAATGAAAGTCGTCGGTTTAGACTTAAAAGGAAATGGAAGGTTCGATTGTAACTCACAACCAGAAACAGCTTTGTTTGCTTGAACAAAGAATGATTATTTTGAGCAAATCGTTTCCCGTGGCCAAAAGTTTTCTCAGGAATTTCACAGCCGTGTCTGTCCCCTTTCGTAATCCGGCCAAGAACCTTTGACATTTGCGACCACAATCATTATTTTAAAAATAGTTATCAGTGACAAGCCCAAAACCCCCAATATTATGCATAAGCCAAGAGTAACTTTAATTTACCAGCATCCATCTCCTGTTGACAAATATTTTCCCTACTGTTGTTTAATTGTACATTAAAGACTTCCAGTACAAAGTAATAAACTCAATTCTTTTCACGCGAATAACAGTGCGAATACGAAGTTGAATAAGATATGTGTTTGAACACATGATTTATGTACTTTCTGCGAAGATCAGGTAGGTTTATTAATTCAGTTGTTTCGAATTGTTCTATATCACGATATCACTACAAGAAAAAGTGCTTTTTGCAATTTCTTTCCGTTTACTTCAATTGCCTAATAACTATTTTATAATTATTGAAAAGCTTTTTTGAGGAACCAAATCCTTCCAAACATTTATAGATTTGTGGCTAAAATCAGCGCTAACTAAGAAACTTGGCATTTTTAAACTCCAAAAAATAGTATATTTTACAAGTGTTATTAATAAAGATTATATTTAAACTTTTAAAATATTTTCTATCGTCTGTCACTACAGATGACAAGGGTAGATATAAATTGAAATTTTCAAAACTTAAGCCAATATAGATTCAAATTTTAATGCGATTTTATGCGTGCAAACATCATAGTTATTACAGTTAGTGCTTCCTAATAAAAAATTATAAAGAAAATAGTGTCGGAAACTGTTGTCAGTAATATTTGATTATTATCACATTTTCAATTAGTGCTATTGAATCTGTCAAGAGCTCTGTTAGTGAGACACGCAAGTTGTAGTTAACGTAAGCTGAGAAGAGAATTGAAAGGTTTTCTGACAGGTAATTGAAACAATGTATGTGCGGTATTATATATCTTTAGAGAACAAATTTTACTTTAGTGAGAGATTTTTATGTCGTGTAACCAACCAATAAATTAGAAAGCGAGAATATCGTGTGTTTTCCATTTCCAAAAATAGAGAAGCATTTTGTCTATGGACAAAGGCAATTATAGTTAATTACTTATTTTAAGCATAGAACTGACCTGAAACAGCAAATTAAAGTTAAACCCTAACCCTCAATTCTTACTTCTGTCCCGCCTAGATTAGCTTTTGCTACCTGCGGGACAGTGTAATTAATTAAATTTATTCTTGCAATAAAGTTATGTTGTTGTTGTTGTTGGTACAATTAAAACAGTGTACCGATGAGGGAACAGTTTCTCTTGTTTCTTATACTAACAAAGTCAACAATGCTTCGGATCGAAACCCACCAACCATATAAAGCATGAGTGAGATTTGTAAAGCGCGAATCACAAGTAACAGTGTCGTTACTAATGGTACCGATCAGTTAATAGACACCGTGGCTTCATGAAAGACAGCAGTTCGCAGTCGAACGATCAATAACAAAGTAACTACCGTGCGACAAAAAATAAACGAGTTTATAAGTTATATCTTCCATTATAACGCTAATGTAGTAACTTCATTAACTACGTACATTACATAATTAGACAGTCTTTCTTCTTTTTGGGTGTCGGGAATGTTACTGAACTTTTTGAGTTGAAAGGGCTGGAAAAAGAAGAATCTGAGGCACTTGCTCGACCAACGCTCTGCAGGGAAGATCCAACATGGCGTGTTGGTGTAATGTGACTTGAACTAGCCACTGTGTGATAAAAATTCGACGCAGGAGAACTGCTTGCGGTATAACTTGTATCCAGACGACTAGAGGTACTTAGCGAGTTATTGGTCGATACTGTCGAGTACTTGCTACTTCCTGAGACAGGAACACTCGAATTGACTGCTGTAGCAACATGGGTTGGCCTCTGTGCAACATGCCTTGGCCTCTGTGACGAACTCGTCGTGCTTAGAGAATAACTGTTTCCTGCGCCTGTCACGTTTGGACTAGAAGTCACAGAAACACTAGAATTGGCTGCTGGAGCAACATGAGTTGGCCTCTGTCCAACATGCCTTGGCCTTTGTGACGGCTTAGTCGTACTTAGGGAATAACTACTTGGTGTGTCTGTTACGTATAGACTAGACGTTACAGAAACACTAGAACTTGCCGGGTGCTTCAGAATGCCCTTTAGTGGTTGGGAGCTGGAACGATTTGGTCGCGACGGTACTGTACTTGGTGGTTGCGGGGCATAGTAAGCACTAGTATCATTTGGCCTTGCTCCTGGCCTTGCTCTTACCGGAAGGCGCTTAAGATTGCCTGGTTGTGGTAAGGCAGAGCCACTGGCAGAAGTTGTGTGAGACGCTGTTGAATCATACTGAATGATGTACTCGGGGTAGAACTGATCGGTGTCAAAGACAACGAAAATGGTTGGCCTAGCTTGGTTATCAACACACGAGTCGTACAGATCACTTGCAGGATCCGAAGGGTTCTTTGACGGCGGTCTTCGATAACTGGAATTACCGGTAGTATAGAAACCCACAAGAACCTTGGCTACGAACATAAACATATCAGAACTTGAACTTTTCTTGGCATAGGTGTGGCTGTAAGAGGCATTTACTGCGAAGTAGCTTCCCTCGCCGTACTTGGTGGCATTCTTTCCGTGTAAACGCCAGTCGAAGTTTTGTTTGCAGATGGCTTCCACAGCATCAGGGCTAGTTCCGTGAAACAACTGCTTCTCATTGACAGTTTGCTGGTTGCCCTTAGCCACTGACATCATGTTTTCTTTTTTCCTTAAGAAAGTCAAACTATGTTAAAAACGAGAAAGAGGTGTTTCATTTGAGGTGTCAACCGAAGCTTTTAATAAGTGTTTTATATAGTTTCTCAAATCCTTTCGCGCAAAATTTTATGGCAAACTAAAGATTTGATTTTTAAGCCACCTTCAAGACAGTGATTTTCTTCGTCTTCTGTTCACGAATTATTAAATGATTTGAGAAGGAAGTGTCTGAGATCCGCATAGTGACACTGGTGAGTAGACCGAAAAAACAAGACGCGGCCAAGATTTAAAAATAGACATCGAAGTCAGTTTGATAGAAATATAAAAAACACTCAATCCTCAAAGAACTTCTGTCACGCGCTAACTATTTTACCCGCATGTCGTATGATGTAGATAGTTATAAGTGCATATTACTTTGACGTGTTAAACAACAACAGCCGTTTACAACTTGTGTTTTTATTGAAGAAATTACAGAAACGTTTTTTTTTTTTCATTTGTGGCTCCAGTTCAAGGTCATCTTGCTATGACATTCTTGAACGCAGTTTTGTTAGGAAATAAAATGTATGTACTAATACCTGCAGTATTTCTCCCACATGAACGGGTTCTGTACCCGGTGAATGCTCTGGATCTTGAAGCCGTCGTTCATAGTACGTCTGAACAACTGCTCCACAGTTTTATACTCCTCCTCATAAGAGAACAATGAAACGCGTTCATACTGTGAGTTGGGTGGCATGGCGGAGGACCAGTTGCTGGGAATGTATTTGTAGTTTGCGCTTCTTTTGCGTATTTGTTCCCTGAGACAAGAATCACCATTTCTCCTTCAAAAGAAGAAAATTATTTTAGTACCTTCAATTTAACATTCTATTAAACTAGAAACTGTACAACTGCCCATGTTTAGTCGCCTTAATATGGCCCACTCTATTAACTGTGAAATGGGTAACCTCATGATCAGTCTGTAGCCGGTCAAACACTGATACTGTGGCAAAAGCAAATGTTACTCCCTTGAAAGTAAACCTTAGAAACTAAATTATCCAAAACATGTTTTCCAAACTTTCACTCTTCCTTACAGCAGTTTTCTACGACAACGGTATTGCGATGAAGATTATATTGAAAGCCTACCACTTCAGGTCTTCGATGTTTTCAAGAGACACAAACTCCAGGGGTCTTCTTTTCACCGCTCGCTTGGTGCCAGTTTTCAAGTTAACTTGAGAAAAAGAAGAACTTGAATAAAAGGATAAGTTGTATTCATGCTGTCCAGTTTTGAATTTCACTTGCTTGCTCCCGTCCAAGAAGGACTGCTCTATAAGAAGCTGAAGATCTCTTCCCTACAACAAGATAATATCAACAAATGAAGGCTTTGGGGTTGAAAATCTCGCTCAGGGTGTCAGTTGGTGTCACTGTCAAAGAGGCCAGAGAAAGGGGCGGGGGAACGGAACTCTGCCTGTTCCCTCTGCTATTTGAGTCTTCATAGCTTAGTTGGTAGAGCAATGCAGCGCTAACGCAGAGGCCAGGGGTCCGGAAATTGTTTTAGGGTTAATTTGGAATTGCTTAAATTGCAATTACAACTGCGACGATCATATCTTCATTTAATTTTGTATTTCCGCAGTTCACATCATCTTCATTCTATATCGACCAGAAAAATAAGATATTTAAGTATTATTCCACGAGTGCCGGTTGAATATGAGATGGTAAATAGCCCACGAGGCGCGTAGCGCCGAGTTGGCTATAATCATCTCACATCCAACAATTAATCGCGAGTGGAATAATTGTTTTATTAAAAACGCCCACAAAATATCGAGAATTCTTCCCGACTTTATTTGTAAAAACAACCGATTTTCCGCTTGTTTTTAATTCTGAGCAGATGTGTACAGTTACCACATTTGGAGAGCATGGTATAATGGCTCATATACCATGATGGCTAAGCCAATCAGAGCTCTAGAATTCCATTATCCAATGATTCAGTTTTTGGTAAAACTTGTTAGGTAATTGTCACGGAACAGTTATTGTTGATCTTACCGAACGGTCATTCCCATACTTAAGCCATACGTTGCCATTTTCTTTCCAGTACCAAGTCCATTTAGTTTGCATGATTTCACAGGGCTCTTGGACTAACGCAATCGTTGATAGCCGCCTCAACTTAATTTTGCGGCCAAGATGAGAACACGGTGGTATCAAATGCATGAGCATATTGCTTAAGTCGATTTTAGTCTCATAATCGTTAACCGTGGTGAACCCAGTTATACTGAAAGAGAATGAAAACCGGTAGTTCAGTAAGCATTGACCTTACTCACGGGATAGGGAATCTACTTAATCAGTTAACCATTGTCTTTCTGAAGGATTCTTTTTTGTTCGAATTTAACGAGCTCTTGAGTAGAAATTTAAAGAAAGGAGAGAAACATTGTTAAGTTTATCCCGTGTTCTCCCAAGCTGTTCCCCTAGTCAAATGTCTACATTTTCGTTTGTAAAATTATCAAAAACAATTAGCACCACCAGTGCCACTGAAAAGGTTACATTTCAATGCACATCACAGACTCGAATGTTTAAGGACGACATTTGTAGTTATAATAAGATTACTAAAGAAAAGAACTGTTCAGTAGCTTTCACTTGCCTTCATTTTCACACCTTTAGATGTCATCTACAGACTTTCTTAGAACTACAGCCAAATATCCATAACGGACTACTCAGAATGTAAGGTTATAAAAGGTTATAATTAACCGAAATCAAGTCCGCCTTAAAAGGAATACATACTCGCCCTTACGAATCAGAACAACAATAGAGAGGCTAAAAAACACGTTCACCGCAAACGACAACACTGGACGAAAAAATGGATTTACTAGGGTAGCCAAATTACAGCAAATGTGTAGCAAATACCACATTTGCACAATTTTGCGCAAGAGCAAAGACTGATATTGCACTAGATTTGCTATCCGTAGCAATGACGGTAAATGCCACATTTGCACAGCATTTACATCTTGGTGCAAAGATAATGGGCAGCCATGGATTTGAGGGTCATTTGCAGATGGTTCAAATGTGTAGGCAAATATGTTTCTTTGAACTATATTTGCACATTACGCAAATGATAGCGCAAATCTGCTGTTTTGTACAGCTTTTGCTTTAGATGTAAAAGCATGTAAACCTGTTATTTTCAGAACGTTTACGCAGCTTTGCAAATGTGAGCGAAGTATCTAATTTGAACAATGTTTGCTTGGGTTATCATGGGTGATCAAATTTTCATAACTGAACCAGATTGCTTTGCATAGCAAATGTAACCAAACTCTTTGTATTAAACATGTTTGCCCACGAAGCAAATGTTAGCAAACCTAAACTTTGAACAAATTTTCTAGGGTGTGCAAATTTGATCAAACACAGAATTTTGCTTGTAGCGGCAAATGTGGTCAAAAGTCAAGTTTTGAACAAAGTTGCTTAAGCAGCAAATCTGATCAAACTGTTACTATTGTACAATTTTTCGCTCAGGTAGCAAATGTAATCAAATTCTGACTTTAATTTGGTTAGCAAATGTCATCAAACCCATAAAATTGAGCATTTTTTCACAAGTAGCAAATGTAAATTCCAAGGTTTAAACGAGTTTGCCTGAGTTGTAGCAAATGCGATAAAATTTTTAAATTATTTTTAATTATAACATGGCTCACTTCACGTTCTTAACAAGTGGCTATAATTAATCTTGAAGTTTATAGCTTCAAATATTAAAGTTACTGAAAGAAATTGTAGCAGTGACCTCCCATTATAATGTTCAAATGATTTATTCTATAAACCAAAGTGGCTTACACATTATTACAGACTTTACAAACTACAGTGTACAGCTGTACATACAGCTCTTCATATTAATTCCCAATTTTACAGTTCGTTGATGTGTACTTGTCTCCACTCTATGCTCTATCAGATCATTACTAACTATTAATATTATAAGAAAAGTGTTCTTCATCTAAATGTGTAAGATATTCTACATACAGCTGTAGGTGTTTCAGAGTTGCCTCAAACCTATTTCAGTTGTTTAGGTTTTTGCAACTCAGAAACAGGTTAAAAATCTTTTTACCCTTGGGCCAATATTTACTTATGACAAGACTATTTCTTACTTAAACTTTTGTATCTAAGGACAAAATCCTGTTCCAACCAAATGGAACCCTCAAGACACCCATTTTAATAAATAATTAGCATTTTTGAATTTATTGCTATTTACAGATTAAACAAAATTTGATTCTGGTGGCATTTTTTGTCTTTAGGCTCTATTAGAATGAAAGGCCTAATTCTTGCTACCAATTTCCAATTTTTGCTGGTATAACAACTGGGTTATAGCATTTAGCAAACTAAGAAATAGTTTAGGTACATGTAGCTATTCAAATTCAGATCAGACTTCTTTAACTTCATTTTTGTTACTAATGGTTCCTGTATAGTATTGGATATGCTCTTAGAGGAAGTACCAGCCGGAGCTTCTAGTACTTGCCCTGTTCTAAGAAAATTGAGGGTCATTAAAGTAATGACCAGCTGTAAGTATTCCACAGCATATCAACATTACCATTGTCACTGTAGTTGGTCCCAATGAAAGAAGCTAATAATTATTTTAAATTCAGTATACATGTACATGTAGTACAAAAGGTTGATCTGGCTAGCCTGCAAAATAACTACACTGCTGTCTCTCATTACTCTTTTTCTTGAGTCATGTTGCAATCCTTTGCAAAATTCCATACTAAATCATGACAAAAAGCAGGGTGTACCTAAATTTGTTTTGTTTTTTGTTCAAGCAGGTCAGTTGCAATTGCTGTAACCGGTACACATGTACTGTGAAGTGGTGCCAGCAGAACTCAAATGCCTGCAGTTAAGCAAATAGATTTAAAAGAAACATTTGTACATTAATTGGCCTTTTAACCTGCTGACTGGTACATTACTTGCAAACAATAGCCAAAGGATTCTAATGAAAAATTTATCACATCAACCAATTTGATCTACCTGCCACCAGAATTCTCAGGACAAATCAACACCATCAGGATTTGTACTGTTTACACAGATTTATCTTTTTCTAAAAAACAGTGTCATAAACAGAGAGTGATTAAAGGATTACTGTATTTGCAGAGCTACATGTACATGTACCTGTAAGTATGACCAGTCATAAATAATCTGGAATTTCTTTAAGAGCATTGGATTAACTTATATTTCCTTATCACAAAGCAAATTCAGGAGCATTATCTGGTGCCTCCATCTCTGAGGAGAAGCCATTCCTCCTTTCTATTGTCATTGAGTAATGACAGGCTTACATGTGACTGTTAGAATTTTGCTTTACCGTTCAGCTAGGCAAAGAGGTTTTTACAGGCTAAGTTGTTGACTCCTCCATGCTAGAGGCCTCCTGCAAAGGACTTTTCTCAGATTTGTCATCTCCTTGGTCTGTATTGCCTTGCTCTGAAGACATGTACTCCACATTTATACAAGCTTTGAACTTACAACAATCCTTCTTCGAAATAGAGGTTGACTGGAAAAGGGTGGTCTCTTTAGCTTTTTCTGCAACAAACAGAAATTATACATAATTGAGACCATTAATATTGAAACTAAAGCTGTAGATGGTTGTCATGAAAAATACTATTGTCCTTTTCTGTCTAAATATTCTAGCCTTTTATAGCATAAAGGTTGCTATTAGATATTACATGTACTATTACTGGCTGCAGTCACACTACGTGACTAAACTTACTTATTTCCTGAGTTAACTGATATCAAAATTAACTAGTTTAAACAAATTGCTGGCTTGTAACTTTCATGTCTCAAATCTAACCCCAAGCAGTCATCATAATCCTGATTACACTGTACCTGTTAAAACTAAGACCTTCTTTGAGCAAAAACAAAATGAAAAAATGAATGGAAGAAACCCTTTAAATTTGTAACAAGACAATTGACTCCAGATAAATCATTGTATTAATTTTATAGTGAGTGTCCCACTACATCACTACCATAACAACATTATTGACATATTACTTAAAACTTCATGGACCTGCTTCTTCTGCAACATTGCCATCACTTACAGTGTATCTTGGGAACAAAAGTTTAATTATACTATAATTGCCTCATATGAGGGAATCCAAGACAGTTTTAGATTCTGGATTCCACGCTGCGGATTCCAGAACCTTTTTCAGTGGATTACTTGGTTTCTGGATTCCAATTGTTTGACCTGTATTTCAGGTTTCAAAGCTCAGAATTTAGGATTCCACAACAAAAATTGCCTGAATTCTGGATTCCATAAGCAAAAAATTAATTTCCCGGATTCCAGAATTCCTTACATGGGGTGATCATTAAAAAAAAAAAATCAGTGAAAGCAGGGTACCATGATCTAAATTCTAGCTACTCTATGTTTTCAGCACCATGGCAGTCACTGCCTTTAATCCCCTTTTAAATTTTGGAAAAGCCTTTGGAGAAAGTAGGCACTAGAGGATAAGGTTATTTTTGGCCTTAGAGGGGAATTAACACTTGCTTCAATTCTTATTAAATTTCCAAGACCATTATCGAATTTGTCCTGTTGTTTTAAAAAATACTATAATCTTTTATTTGGTTGTTCTCACCAAATAAAAGATTATAGTATTTTTTAAAACAACAGGACAAATAAAATTTCAGGAGTAGGGGTGAGTCCTTGTTGATTACTGAATATTGGGAATGTAAATGTAGGTATTATCAAATAGCATCATTAATGGATTAACAGTAAGAATGAACTTTCATATACTTACTGAGCATTTCTTTTACTCCCGATTAGTTGCTCCCTCAGCATTTGTTTGTCCTTGCATTTCTCCTGCCGCTTATTAGTTTTACAATGTCTGCTAACAGCAACGATTCACCGAAGTCTATGTGCTAAGTACTAACGGCTGCTTTTCTTGGATCCAATCGTTACTACTTGATCGTCGCCGATGGAGCTATCTAGATGTCTTTCATGGTGGATAAGTGCAATTTCCTTTTCGTCGAACAGTCTATAAGTATGCAGTTCCCTCGAGCTCGAGCGATTATTTTCATAAGTTCTTCGAGGACACATTCGTTCGATAAATTCGAACAAATAAGACTGGCCGATTCCTCCATACTCGACAGTCAAGCCCACAAAGAAGGAAAATTCGAAAACTCTTGATAAATATGGCGTTAAACGTATGAAGTAAAAGCTGGTGGCAAATCGATGGCAATGGAACGTGGTAACGGTCGACGAAATTTGGGCGATTTCGATCGTTGTGCCTCGTTCTCGAACGGTTATGCAGACTGTCGCTGACCAGCACCACTGAGGCGCAAATGCTTGGGAAATCGGGCGCGCGTTCTTTTGGCGATTTGGCGGGAGGAAGAGATTGCCTATGTTGCTGGATTTTTTCTCAAGGATATTCGAAATTTAAAAGGTAAAGTCGATGTATTTTGCTTTGTATATCGTGCTTCTACTGCCACATCTATGTTCTAACCGGGAATAAACTACATTTGCATCCATATTTACATTTGTAGCATGTATGTGCACGCGTGTCGCGTGCGTATGGTAGTGATCCAGCTGAAAAAAGCCTTGTTGAAAAATTTAAGTGGTGTTAATTTATTGGTATTTGGTGCTAATTTATTGGTATTTGGCAGAAGTAGCTCAAGATTAATTGCTTGAGTAATTTATACTTCCTCTGGCGCTATATTGACATATTGAGCGTAATACCTGTACATGTACCATTGATTTTGACAGGGGTAGGGTGGAGCCTTTATTTTATATGCCTTACTGTCATTTTTTGCTGTTTTGTTTTGTCATGTTTTCATATACAAGGTTGTTTTGTTTATAATAATTTATAATGATACAGCTGTACATGTAAGCTGAGTCCAAAGGTCAAAAGTTCTAAAATGTGCCACATGTGTATTTATAATGTTCCTAAAGATAATGGCAACACAAGTAACACAATTCATTTAATTTCACAATATTTTCAATAAAGGTAGAATTACCAGTTATTTTTAGTGGGTTTAGTGACTTTTTTGTACATTTGTTTTAGATTTTTCCTTGAGTGGTACAGGAGTTAAATTTCCAATGTTCTTGAAATTGAGTTGCATCACCTGAACTCTCCAAAAGATAAAGAGGTCAATGAAATACAGGTTCAACATGGGGAAGCTTTTTGTGGTCTGTGCATGAAGAAATGCTACAGGGGTATTCCAGTGGGTCTCAATTTATTTACAGTATCGTTTTTTCCTCTTCAGAAGATAACAGAAGTGAAGCTTATATACTGAATGCTCCCATACATCGATACCCCATCTGTTTGGGGTAAATGTCACAAAAAAGAAACCTCACGTGTACTTCCTTGTGTTATATTTTTAGCATCTTTACAATATTAGTTTTCTTGTACTTTGTGCCGTGCCCTGCTAAGTAAATCCATGTCCCTTTCACAGTGTTCTGCAGGAAACATAATGTACTGAAATTGTGTGAAGCTATAGAACATTTGCACTCGTAGAGGTTTCCCCTCAGAGATATAAAGAGTGACAACATTATTCCTACAGAGGTAAACAATATGTACCACCCAATGCTCAGTGATTTTCGAAAGGCTATCTTGCTATCGGATGCCCCTTCAAAACAGCAGTCCATGACTGCTCACTAGCACTGACATGTAGCTTCAGAAATATGCCTCAGATATTATGTTTTCACTTGGCGTTAATAAGTCATGGCAAAAGTTAGTGGCAGAGTGAAAGTAGAAAGTCATTTTGTGGAAGGGCAAAGAAAATGCCTTCAGACACTCCAAAGTTGAGATTTACTATTTCATGTCTTCTGTCACTGCTCAAAACAAATTTTTAGCTGGAACCTTTTTTCTGTCCAGCAATTATAAAATATCATATTCCTATTTAAAAAGGAAAATCAAAAAGTTATCTTACTGTGTGAATTCCAATACTAAATAAATCTAGTAAAATTCGACTCATTTAGTGAAAAGGGTATAATAATATTGAAGGTGTAAACACCGTTGGTCTAAGAAGTTTAGGTTTAAGTGAAGAAATGCACCATGTTAATGTTGTTGAGTGAAGGCTGATATAAATCTCGCCAGTCTGTTTGATCAGTTTAAAAAGACAAATCCTATTGAACTCAAAATCAGGGTTGTAAAGAGGAGCAAAGAAATTATTTGTTCATGTCTGTTCTAGTTTCTATTCACAAATTATATGAAATACAAAGCAATTTCACCATTTGTTTTATTATTGGCTGTTGGGCTTTCAAAATGTGGTCATTTTTAGGAGGCTCACCATCAAGATGTGGTCATCTCCAGGTATAGTCAGTGAAAACTAGAACAAATAGCGGTAAGAACAAAATTGTCAGTTTTGATGTGAAGTTCCTTGAATAAGTGGCCATGAGGAAATTGTGTACAAGTGAATAATCTCAACCCTGACTTTGAAATGCACAGAACTTTTTTTTTTGGACCAAATTTAAGGTACTGTGGGTGGCCTTGTTATTGTTAGCTTTTTAATAATAATATTATGGTGTAGAAAAAATACAGTAAATTATTTGACTACTGGACCTTTGTCCAGTAGATTTGTTGTGGTGTATTTACTTTATGTAAAGGGGAGGTAGTGTGGGCCCTCTGTAACTATATACAACAGTTACTGTGTCATTTTGAATTTTTAGTTTTAGTAATTGGAGATCCTTGCCCATTGTGCGACCCTAGGCTTTACTATTATCAAATGACAGAAGAGGAATGCAACACATGCCCAGGTTATGTACCATTGACTCACTTCGAAGTGGTTACGTGATTTAGAATTGGACCCAAAAAAAGACTGGGGCCGAGTTGTTCAAAAGAGCGATTAGCACTAACCCAGGGTTAGATTTTAACCCGCGTTTCTTTTTTCTTTTAATCAAAAGCATTTTGTCAGATAATTTTCTCTTTTCTTTTTTAAGTATCAAATCACCAAATTGTAGACAAAACGAATTATTCAAATGAATTTGTTTTTAAAACTTTCATATCTGAATTCATATTTCGTACTAACCTTGGGTTATCTTTACCCAGCTTTGAACAACCCAGCCTGGAAGGATAAATGCTGCATGTTACTTTGTTTCACTGCCTTAGTTTTTTCTTTATAGCTTTAAACTTTTCATGATCCAAGGCCAACTCAGAGCTCCTGTAACCCAGTGTTGGTCTGTTCATTTTTTTATGAGGGGGGGGGCTTTGTCGGGTGGGATTTGACTGGTAGCTCCTGTATATGAAGACCGTCTCTTCATCAGAATTTTTGTTGGGAAGCCACAACCCCGCTCCTTGTATCCCAAGATCAAATAACCAGGATTCAGGTGAATTTTAGCCAGCAAAAATGCTATGACTTTTTTGGATTGAATGGGTAGTACTTCATGAACAGTAAAACTCAAAATCAACATTAAAATCAGTGAAACTCAAACTCAGGGTTGCAAACAACAGAGTAAGAAAAATTAGCCTTTCATAAATTTGTCGGCTGAGTTAATGTTCAAATAAAATTGTGAGCAGTTTCAACATACTTTGTTGTAGTATTGGCTGATGGGTTTTCAAAATGTGGTCATTTTTAGGAAGCCCACCATCGAGATGCGGTCATCTCTAGGTGGGCAGTCAAAACTACAACAAATACCGGTTAAACTAAAATTGTTGGTTTTAATTTGAATTAAGTTTGTTGGTTAAATGGCCATGAGGAAATTATGCACAAGTGAATAATCACAACCCTGAGTTTGAAATCCACAAAACTGTTTATTTTGGACCACATTTGATTTTTTAGTATGATGTACAAAAAATACAGTAAATGATCTGACTACTGGACCTTTGTCCAGTAGATTTGTTGTAGTGTATTTACTTGTATAATAAAGGGGAGGTAGTGTGGGCCCTCGATCTGTACGGTATAGAACAGTTACTGTGTGATTTTGAATTTCTAGTTTTAGTACTCGGACATCCTTGCCCGTTGTACGACCCTAGGCTTTATTATAATCAAATGACAGAAGAGGAATGCAACACATTCCCAGGTTGTGTACCATTGACTCACTTCAAAGTGGTTATGTGATTTAGAATTATTGGACCCTAAAAAAGACCGGGGCCCAGTTGTTCCAAAGACCGATTAGCACTAACCCAGGGTTAGATTTTAACCCGCGTTTCTTCTTCCTTTTAATCAAAAGCATTTTGTCAGATAATTTTCTCTTTTCTTTTTTACGTATCCAGTCACCAAATTGTAGACAAAAAGAATTTAAATCAATTTGTTTTTGAAACTTTCGTATCTGAATTCATATTTCGTACTAACCTTGGGTTATCTTAACCCAGCTTTGAACAACCCAGCCTGGGAGAATAAATGCTGCATGTTAATTTGTTTCACCGCCTTAGTTTTTTCTTTATAGCATGACGAGATTCATCTTTGAAATTCACCACAGGGAGGAAGTTTCAATTTCCGGTGTCCTTGTAAAAACCTAATTAGGATTCAATTAATAGCCACTAATCTGTCACGACTTGTGTACTTTGCGTCACTGATGGAAAACGACCTGAGACGAAAGACAGATACTATTTTAGGTTCCTTTGTATCATCTTCAAATGGCTACCTATTATCATTTTAGCGCAAAAACGTTTTAAGGTCGACACTGATCCCTCGATCATTTCATAAATTCTCAATAACTGCTAATGATGTGAAAGTGTAATGTTCATGGAGAATGTTGATGGAGATCACTATTTCTTAAGCCTGATCGCAAACAGTTCAATTCAGTCAGAATTCAGTTTTTAAGTGTGGATCGTAGTGGATATTTTCAATTTTATCGAATCCATTTTAAGAAAACAGGAAAATTTATTTTGCCAAAGCCAGTGGCTATCATTTGTCGGTAAAAGTGAGTAAAATTTCATAAACCAAAAATTGATTTACAGATTAAAGCTTTATTTAATTTTGCACTGATTAGATCTGTGAAGATGATCGTGCATGTCCCGCATTAAGTAAAACAGTTTAGCCTTTGCTGATGCAACAGAGCAGCGTAGCCTTTTTTAGGCTGTGGCTCTGTGAGAATTTTATTCTCCGGGTGTCTCAGAGAGAACTAAAACGCGCTTTTCAGATGTTGTTTGTATCTCCGTCTAGTATTAAGTAAAACGGTTTGGCCTTCCTGATTCAACACAGCAGCTTAGCCCTTTTTAGGCTGTGGCTCTGTGAGAATTTTATTCTCCGGGTGTCTCAGAGGGAACTAAAAGCGCACTTTCAGATATTGTTTTATTCTCTGTCCAGCATTAAGAAAAAAACGTTTGGCCTTCCTGATTCAACAGAGCAGCTTAGCCTTTTTAGGCTGTGGTTCTGTGAGAATTTTATTCTCCGGGTGTCTCAGAGGGAACTAAAAACGCGCTTTTCAGATATTTTTTGAATCCCCGTCTAGCATTAAGTAAAACAGTTTGGCCTTCCTGATACAACAGAGCAGCTTAGCCTTTTTAGGCTGTGGCTCTGTGAGAATTTTATTCTCCGGGTGTCTCAGAGGAACTAAAAAACTCGCTTTTAGATATTGTTTGATTCTCTGCCCAGCATTAATAAAAAAAGTTTGGCCTTCCTGATGCAACAGAGCAGCTTAGCCTTTTTAGGCTGTGCATGGCTCTGTGAGAATTTTATTCTCCGGGTGTCTCAGAGGGAACTAAAAACTCGCTTTTAGATATTGTTTGAATCTCTGTCCAGCATTAAGAAAAAAAGCTTGGCCTTCCTGATTCAACAGAGCAGCTTAGCCTTTTTAGGCTGTGGTTCTGTGAGAATTTTATTCTCCGGGTGTCTCAGAGGGAACTAAAAACGCGCTTTTCAGATATTTTTTGAATCCCCGTCTCGCATTAAGTAAAACAGTTTGGCCTTCCTGATTCAACAGAGCAGCTTAGCCTTTTTAGGCTGCGGCTCTGTGAGAATTTATTCTCCGGGTGTCTCGGAGGGAACTAAAAACGCGCTTTTAGATATTGTTTAAATCTCTGTCCAGTATTTAAGAAAAACGTTTGGCCTTCCTGATTCAACAGACCAGCTTAGCCTTTTTAGGCTGTGGCTCTGTGAGAATTTTATTCTCCGGGTGTCTCAGAGGGAACTAAAAGCGCGCTTTCAGATATTGTTTTAATCTCTGTCCAGCATTAAGAAAAAACGTTTGGCCTTCCTGATTCAACAGAGCAGCTTAGCCTTTTTAGGCTGTGGTTCTGTGAGAATTTTATTCTCCGGGTGTCTCAGAGGGAACTAAAACGCGCTTTTCAGATATTTTTTGAATCCCCGTCTAGCATTAAGTAAAACAGTTTGGCCTTCCTGATACAACAGAGCAGCTTAGCCTTTTTAGGCTGTGGCTCTGTGAGAATTTTATTCTCCGGGTGTCTCAGAGGGAACTAAAAACTCGCTTTTAGATATTGTTTGAATCTCTGTCCAGCATTAAGAAAAAAAGTTTGGCCTTCCTGATGCAACAGAGCAGCTTAGCCTTTTTAGGCTGTGCATGGCTCTGTGAGAATTTTATTCTCCGGGTGTCTCAGAGGGAACTAAAAACTCGCTTTTAGATATTGTTTGAATCTCTGTCCAGCATTAAGAAAAAAAGCTTGGCCTTCCTGATTCAACAGAGCAGCTTAGCCTTTTTAGGCTGTGGTTCTGTGAGAATTTTATTCTCCGGGTGTCTCAGAGGGAACTAAAAACGCGCTTTTCAGATATTTTTTGAATCCCCGTCTAGCATTAAGTTAAACAGTTTGGCCTTCCTGATTCAACAGAGCAGCTTAGCCTTTTTAGGCTGTGGCTCTGTGAGAATTTATTCTCCGGGTGTCTCGGAGGGAACTAAAAACGCGCTTTTAGATATTGTTTTAATCTCTGTCCAGCATTAAGAAAAAAGGTTTGGCCTTCCTGATTCAACAGAGCAGCTTAGCCTGTTTAGGCTGTGGCCCTGTGAGAATTTTATTCGCCAGGTATCTCAGAGGGAAGCTTTATTTTTTAGACATTATTTAAATATTGCAAAATTAATGTTTCGCTTACGTTTTTATTTAACCCCATCCAGATCCAGTGAGGCCTTTAAAACAGCGCGTCAATTTTAAAAGTTTTTTCATAAGGCAGTTTCTGTTTAGCGCTTAGTGTTAGTTCTGGCCTTGAAATGAAGATTCCATTAAAAAGCCTTGCGTTCAGACATAAAATTAGGGAGATCTTGGTAAGCATGAATTGAAATATATGAAATGCGGATGAAGGTATGAAAGTGAAAATGATCATCGCATTAAATTCGCAGCCTATTCGGTTGAAAAAAATAACCTAAAAAATTTTGCAGCGTTATCGCAGAAAGTTAGAGGTAATATTATTCATTGTTGGGGAAAATACTCCGCGGCTTTAAATTAATAATTTCCACGATGTTTTAATTCCGGTAGTGTAGTAACCTTTTTTTACGGCAGCAGCTTCTAAAACGCACCTGAGAAAACCGCACAGTCTCTGTGAACTCTCACTTTAACTTGCGAGAGATGCAAAAAAGACAATAGAGTGACATTACTTTCAAACCAAATTTACGGGTTAATGTTCAAATAAAATTGTGAGCAGTTTCACCATATTTTGTTGTAGCATTGACTGTTGGGTTTTCAAAGGAAGCCCACCATCGAGATGCGGTCATCTCTAGGTGGGCAGTCAAAACTACAACAAATACCGGTTAAACGAAAATTGTTGGTATTAATTTGAATTAAGTTTGTTGGTTAAATGACCAGGAGGAAATTGTGTACAAGTGAATAATCACAACCCTGAGTTTGAAATCCACAAAACTTTTTATTTTGGACCAAGTTTGATTCGTTCTGTAAAAAGACTAAGAGAAGAAATTTGTGACTGTAAAATTGTCAAAAAAAGTAACTGGTTTCTGATTCCTTTATATTAAAATGACAGTGCATATAAAACAGTTAACAGGAAAGATGCATGTAAGGGGTTGGACCTCTTGGCAGAGTCTTACAGCATGTACAAAATTTTATTGTAACAATGTAATGTTACAGTTGAGATTGGAAATTTACTTTAGTCACAAAACGAATCAAACATATAGGAAATGTCACATGCACATCACCTTTGACTGTCAGCAAATGTTATGCAGTTCACTATATTTGCTCCCCTTGCAAATATGGATAATTATGATACAAATGTTCAAATTTATGATAGAGCCAAATGTGTAGAAATTTATTGTTTTTGCTCTTAAGGCAAATACGAGTAAACCACTTGCAAAAGTGTTCTTTTGGTATCCTGGAAAAACAAGAGCAAACACCACTGCAAATTAGTGGTTTTGCAATATTTTTGCCTGTATTTGAAGTACAGTGAAAACTGTCATTTTTGCCAAGGATGTAAATTTGAGTAAATTGGTAGAAATGTTGAAGATTTGCCCATGCTGCAAATATGTATCAAATTTGTATCAAACCATTACATTTACTTGACTTTTGCGTATCAATACCTATCTAGCAAATATATGAATTTGCCCACACTTTAGCCGACAGGGCAAATGTAATGCAAACTTGGAGCTCCAAATTTACCACATATTTGCACCTTTCGCAAACATTAGTAAATCCGTTTTTTCGTCCAGTGCAAAAAACTTTGATTCCATCAGGAACCGACGGCTCCTGTTCCAGGTTCCTTCACAACAATTGTGTTTGTTTTTATATATCAGCTCTTTTCTTAATTTGTCAGAACATTTTAAATTTGAATCTGGCGTTTGCTGTTTCCTGTAAGTGTGATTCTAAATCTGTCTAATCACTTGCCTCTTAAACAAAGATGCGTCAAGGAACTGGGCAGGCTTGAAATTTACTTGGGTATCGATGCTCACGTCACAGTACAGTTTTTCCAACGTTAAGTTGTCCATCTCAGAGAAGCTTTTCCACTGGTGGACTTGTGGGACCTCGTACTGCCAGAGGTATGGCAAAGAACAGTGGTGTTTCATGCATCGTTCGCCTTTGTGGCATTCACCACTTAGGAAATGTGAGCAGATGGGCGTATCTGGATTGTCATTATGAACGTGACCTGTTAAATCAGACAACAAAGAGACCCTTGAGTGGTATAGACCGGGGTGCCTTACCAATAAAACAAATATATTTGAATCTCCTTAACGAACGCCAAATTGTAGAAATCCTGGGGGAACGTTTACTTGATTACGATCGTCAGTTCTCATAAAGTACGATAAAACTTGCTAAAAAGGTAAAAATACATAGGTTTCCCGTTAAGTGGGCCATGAGAAATTGTTTTCTTGTAAGATTATTTAAAAAACGTAGCCGGTTTCCGTGAGATTAGAGTACTGGTATAAACTTACAGTTTGTTTTGTCTTTGCCCGACAGACTGAGCCTATCATCAAGAATCATTTTCACCATGTCGTTGCTGCTGAGATTTCTTATCTGTAGACTATCAAAAACAGCGCGGGAATGGTTTGTTTTCAAGGCTGCTTCGTGATCTAGTTCACAGTAATACTCCCCTTTACAGCATTTCCTAAGAAATCCACAACATATGTGAATCTTACGACAAGGATTTCCACCAGAGCATATCCCATTATTGTAGTCGACACAAAGCTGAGGTGTAGATAGTAGCACAAGCCGGCGTAGCTGTTGCTCTGTTAACGTGTCCAACTTAAAGGTAGACAACAAGGCTTTGTCTTTTTTATTATGAACGTGGTGATTCAGAGGACACATCTCTTCACGGCTACAGGAGTCCGTAATGTAATCTTTACAAACATGGAGATTTGGGCAGTCAACCTTTTGACACCGCTTTTCACTGATGTAGTTTAAGCACAGACGCGCCTTCGTAGAGAATGCTTCAATTTGGGCAATTTTTCCCTTTTCGTTTTCAATGATTAAAAAGCTGCCTTTTCTTCTGCGAAACCAAGATTCAGCACTATCTAACCCATGAGGGAATAGGTCAGTTCGTTTTCCGATCGCGGAGAAGGAAGCTGAACAGTCGTACTCTGTACACAAACGTTCGAAGACCTGTTGTTCGTCTGGCCAACAAGGGGTCCATTTGGTCGTTGACGTCTTCTGTTTCGATAAACTATTGCTCGGATCAGGGCAATCAGATATAGTAGGGAAGGTGGGTTTAGCTGAAGAAACAAAATCATCGTCAGACTGTATTCTTCTAAGACTGCTAACGCTGCTTGATCGGCTTTCTTGGCGAATGCTCGAAGACCTCTCACAAACTAGGACCTCCTTAAGCATAGACTTGGTGCTTAAATCTGAGCATGTCAGGCCATATTTTTTAAATATTTCAGATGCACGAGGAGTCACCAGTGCACTTTCATGCTGCAAATCACAGTCGTCGAAGTCGCTGCACTTCCGCCTAACGTAGTCCTTGCAAATATGTATCTGGTCGCAAAGATCTTTTTTACAGCTTCCATAGTTGTAGTCTAAACAAACTTGTGGCTTCGAGAACCGCAAGACTTTACGAAGCTCTTCTTGCGTAAGATCACCCAACTCGAGTTTGGTGATGAAGCCGCGATCTTCGTCAAACTGGAAATTGTGTCGCCATTTGCATCGGCTGGAGAATTTGCAGGATCCTGCTATGAATTCCCTACAAACGTGAAAAAACTGGCAGTCCTCTCTTGAACAACTTTGCGACGTCAAGTAGTTGAAGCACAATCTTGCTTTTGGACAAAACGAAGTGACCTCCAAGATATTACCAGCTGAGTCCTCTGTGAGGATAAATTTATCATTTCTTTGTCGAAACCAGTTAGCAATGTTCTGTGAATTTCCTGTGCTAAATAAATCTCGTCTTTGGGAAATTATGGAAAAGGGAACCGTCCCATTGTGTTCCTTGCAAATGCTTGTGAATACAGTTTTCTTTGAAGGATTGAATTTATTTTGAGGTGCTACAGAACTACAAGAACTTGATACGGATGACCGCCTCTTCTGCCGCTGGGCCTTAATTCTGCTCTGGGAAGAAGCGTTTTGTTCAGTTTCAAGGTCCATCAACCACTTTTCGACAAAATCTCCGTCCTTGGCCGGCAAACTATTCAGGCCATCTAGAGATCCAGAATTTGTCCTTCCCATAGTTGGCTCAATGCTAGAGCCACACGCGCTTTTGTGTCCTTCACAAACTAATAAATCCCTCAAAACGCTGTTAAGGTTAGTGTCATCTATTTTATACTTCTCAAGTATAGAGCTGGTGTGAAGGGTATCAAGGGCCCGCTTGTGATCTAAACAGCAGGACTTTCCCTTTCCGCAGGCATTCATCACGAATCTCTTGCAAATGTGGACTCGGGAGCAAAGGCTGTCTCTGTTACAGCTGCTGTTATTGTAATCCAGGCAAACTTGAGGAGATGATGACATCATAAGTTGACAGAGCTGCTCATCTGTTAGCCCGTCAAAACAAAGATTCGACAGAGTTTCTGCGTCTCTCTTGTTTCGAAATGAATGGCTCCTGGAACAGCTTTCGCCGTAAATGCAGGTCCCTGTGACAAATTTTCTGCACAGATGAAAATTTGCGCACCGATTCTTTCTGCACTCGTTGGTCGAAGACACAAAGTCACGACACAAACGCAGTTTTGGACAGAATGCTGTGACATCTTGAATAGCTCCACGCTCATTACGGGTGACCAAGAACTTATCTTTGCTTTCTTCAAGAAGCGAATCGAAATCTTCAACTTCGCTCGGAAGGACAACTTTCTGCTCAAGAAGATTTGCTAAGGATGCCGAACAGCTAAATTCCTTGCATAAACGTTCAAAGAAAACTCTGGCCGCTGTACTATTCTTGAATCGGCTTGGAGCTGGTTTTGGTGTCATAGCAGCCATATCTTGGCTGAAACTTAGCAACCGCTGTTTATCGAAAACTAAAATACTACAACGAACGAAGTCGACGTTGACAATTTGATTTGGTGGCACTAAATCGTACTCTTTGAGAACATTCATGTTGTGAGAATCCGTGAGGTTGTGTGAAAGTGAACAACTGCATGTGACACCATGTGCCTCTTTAGCACAAATATGAAGATATGGACATTTGTCACATTTGCATTCACTTCTTAAGTACAGTTCGCAGATCGTCGGCAGACTCCAAGCAATAATTTTTCGCAAACTTCCATTCGAATACTTCTCGAGTCCAAGTTCTTTTAGTTTGTCATCGTTTCCATGGCCATGGAAGTCATGAGACAGACCACAAGCTCCATTGCATTCTTCTTCGATGAAGCTTTTACAGATATGCCAGTGTTTGCACTTGTTCTGACCCCGTCGACATAAGCCTTTCACCACATACTGCTGGCAGATTTTCTTTCTCAAATTGATTCGCACACCTTTGTCTTCGCCATTGTGATCTTTCACAAAGGCGAATTCACTCCGATTGTTAAGCCACTTTCTCGATTCCGGCGAGGATTTTCTGCTCCCCAGAGGTGCAGGACGCCTGAAAAGAACTGGTAATTCAACAAAACCGCCGCTACCGCAAATAAAATTGTGGACTTTCTGAAACAAACCGTCATCCTGATCATCCGCCATCTTGCAGCGCCGGATTCTCGTCACGAGATGTCTTCATGGAAATAAAAACTTCTGGGCTTTGGATTCCGAGAAAAGAGCCGTTGGGGGGAATCCGCTCCATGAAATGAGTGCGGGCGGAAGATCGCAATTAGTCACGCTTATTGCTACACTCAGTTCCCCTCTGCTCGGCAGATTTCTCCTTCGCTGAAACCGACTTTCCAACGTAAGACCAGGGAAGACAATGGAAGTAGAAGTGTATAGTGGAAAGGTGCAAACCTGGAACCAACTGCGTTTTTGAATCGTAGTGGGACTCCAGTACAGTTGACTCTCGGTAACTCGAACCCTCTATAACTCGAACCTCCCGCTAACTCGAAGCAATTTTCATTCCCTTCAGAACATTTTCCAGGGGCACCCAACGACAATTTTCGGAAAATATCTGTTCGGAAGACGATTTGATATCTAGAATTTTCGGAACATTTTTTGTAAAATTTCTTGCTTGCCTGCCTCTCCTAGGATTTTCGAACACCTAAAAAATGGTTTTTTACCCTAAAAAGGTCACCTAGAATTTTCGGGAGCCTTTTTTCTGGCTGGAATTTTCGAACAGGTAAGTTTTGATCCCTATAATTTTCGGATCACTAGACTTTCAGCTAGGAAATCCGAACAGATGAAAAATTTTTAGGGGATAAAAATATGCCTATATCTACCGTTTAAATACTAAAATACGTTTAACAATGCTATGTTTCAGTGGTTTTGAACTATATTCTCGTTGGGTGCCCCTGATTTTCTATACAATTTTACCCTCGATAACTCGAACATTTTTCTATTTCCCTTGAAGGTCCGAATTATCGGGAGTCGACTGTACATGCAAATTTGTTTT